CTTTTAAGAGGCGGAGACGGGAAGTAGGGCGGGTGAGGGTCGGTTCAGATGACGTAAGATTGACGGCACGGCTATGGTCGGCGAGGAGGAGGAGAGCGAATACGATCATGTGGTTATCCAAAGACAACAAGGCACAGCAAAACTGCGGACGGCTTGCGTTTGCGTTTTGGGTTGAGGACGGTAAGGGCAGGGCGGTGGCGCCCGTAGAGTTGGCCTTTGTGGTGGCTGGAAAAAGAAGGGTTGCCGTTGGTCGCGTGGTGGCTGGTGGCTTTTGTGGTCCGCGTTCATAGATGGGTTTTAGTAGAAGGGTAGACTCTTGTCTGTCATGGTGAAAGAAAAGAAAGAAGAAAGAAGGGGAAAAAGGCAAAGGCCTTTTGTTTTTTTTAAAAGGAAAGAAGAAAAAGAGAGAGACTTTAATGGCGAGGGTTGAGGAGAGGGTCAGATACTAATAGTCAAGATCTTAGGATAATAAACTAAGTGAAGTGAAAAAATGGATTTTTTTTTCGTCCAAAAGGAAATGTGCAACAAGAAAAGCAGGAGAACTATCCATGGAGAAAAAGAGGGAGAGGAATATAAAACAATTAAGAAATAGAGAATTATGAGAGGAGATAGTAAACATTACAACGCAATTCCCAAAGAATGATATGACACCGACATGTTTTTTTTTTTTTTTCCCTGTTCTTGAATGGAATGTAAACGATTGATTGTAGCATTCCTATATTAATTGTAAGTACACGAACAGAGTCGCGGTAAATAAATATAGTATACAATAGTTATAAATTTGTAGTTTCGAGATCTTGTGAATCTTGCTCCTTTAATACTCGTAAAAAAATAAATATCATTTTAGATTTTCAAAACTCCCGCCTGTAAAATTCAACCTAATAATATAATTATCCACGTCCACTTAGATTCGAGCATAGTGTTACATTTTTTTAATTATTGCTTAAAATTGTATCTTGAAGAAAATTGATGTTTGCTAGAGTTTTTGTTGTCGAAATGTGGTTATTAAATTTTATTTTTATCAATTAATAAAATAGATATAAAATGTTTAAATATATTACAGAAGGATGTTGAATTGGAGAACTTTAATTAGCTATCAATGGATGATTTTTTGTTTAAAAGAGATCAACTCGTAGGGAAGAATGTGCAACTTTCCTTTCCAAAACCAACTGAAAATTTATTAAAGTTGATGCTCGTTAATTAGTTTAAGGGGTTAATGGAGAATATTTGTCATCCAAACCGATCGACTCTCCCACATAAATTCAATTTTAATTTAGTAAGTCCAATGTGGTGTAAGCCACCAGATTGATTAGGGGTTTACGTAGAGTGTTAGTTGTGGCATGAAGTTTGGGGTAGGGTTAAATTAAATAAATTTTGTTAATTTTGCAAAATGTTTGTTATTATGTGTTCTCGTTTTTAGGTAGCTAATTTGATATGTAAAATTGCATCCTTATTTTATAAATTTTTAAATATAATTTAAGCAAGTTCTTTTTGTCCTATCAATAATAATGTAAAAAATCAAGTTTTCTTCTTTTTTTTGTTTTTGTTGTTGAAACATTAATGAAGATACTTTTTTAATACAAATTGTTACTTAAATATATACACGACTCGTGGCTCTATATATATAAGAAGGTATAAGCACAATCTTTCTTTTTTTTTTTTTTTAAAAAAAAAAAAAACTAATAAGCACATGCGTGAAGTGATTATAGAAAGTAACTAATGATTGATTAAATGAAAACAATATAAAATTACAATAATAAATAATTAATATATTGTTGATTTTTCAAAAATCTGCATCTAAGTTAAAAAAAATGTCAAAATTAACAAAGGAAGGATATAGTATTTATGAACATGGAAATGAAAATAAGTTTGGAGTCTGATCTCCTTTCCCCAGCTGCGCTGAGCTGGGTTTTGACAACCGTGTCCAAAGTTGAAGTATGCCATTATGATGGGTTGAAGGCCTAAAATGTTCCCCATTCATCCAGAATTATCGAATAACAATTGGTCAATTAAATACCGTACCCTCATTATTTCTTTCCGGGTTGTCTCCCCATGAAAGGCCCAATAATTATATGGTGGAGCACCAAATTTTGGTTCAAATTGTGTAAAGTTTGGCCGCCTTTTCCCAATATATATATATATATTTTTGTTTTAAGTTTAGAAATGTTCAAAGAAATACTAGAAAAATATTTTTTATCATGAGCAACTAAATTAAGTTTTTAATGAAATAGATTTATTTTTCAAAAAAAAATATTTATTAATAAAAATACCCATGCTATATCTAATTTATTATTAATAGTTTATTGGTTGCGTAACCATTTGCAATCAATATCAGTGCAGCGATTGAGCGGCAAGAAATTGCCGACTAATTGATTGATTGATTATTATACGATTGTTATATTTTCTTTTGTCATATTCAGATATAAAGTTTCTGGTATTTCTCATAAAGTTTAGAATTTTAATATTTTCTAATTTTTTGACAATTAGCAATGTAAAAAATATTTTTGAGGTATTAATCAAGAAAATTACAGGTTTGTTAATGTTTCTGGGTAACCTTTCGAGAAAAAAAAAATGAAGATCCATAAAAACAGACTGTCCATAGCCTTTCTGCCCGACGGCCAGCGCTAGTGGGCTTCTTATCCGATTTTCTTTATCATCATGCATTGGAACAAAATGAAAAGTCAAAGAGACGGCAAGCAAAGCAAATTGACACTGTCACCTAATGGACAAAAATGGCGAAGAAAAAAAGAAAAAGATTTACAGGTATATATATGTGGTAACGTGAAAGGAGAAATCTCACCGTTACATTATGCATCTCTTGTTTTTTTTTTCAACTCGACACTGTTCTTTTGTGCTTGTTTTATTGCTATCAATAGGAGAAAAAAATCCCCAAAAGGGGTACCAAACGACAAAAACTGGTGGTGAAATTCTTAGCCAAAGATTGATTTTTCTTTTTCTAATCTTACTAGCGTTTCTTGAATGTGGCATGACGTTGTGAGTAAATGGCCAATTCAATTTATACATGTAATTTTTTATATAAATTATAATGATTTATGAACAGTTTGATATTATTAAAAATATAAGAGCATTCATAAATAAAAAGATAACATTTTAGATGAATAATAAAATAGAGAATTCAATAATTAATAAAATTATTAAGAAAATAATTTATTTATATAGATAATATTATCATACATTTGCGGAACCAAATTTTTAGTTTGAATTTTTTTTGTCAATTTATAAATTTATAAGGAATTTTTCCTGGGGATTCTTAAATGTTCCTCACCCATTGTCCGAATATAGTATGATATATATATATATTTGTATGAAATAACTTTATAGGGGCACTAACCAGTAAGACACATAACTGTAACCCAAGTATCGTGACCAAGCCAAGTTGGGCCGTTAAGAAATAATACTGGCCCCGTTAAGAGGAGAGATTGGGGTTTCGTTTTAATTCAGGCGCGCATTAAACATCGCAGGAACTTTTTCTGGCCCAAATTTGCGAATTGACTTAGTTTACGAAAAAGAAAAAAAGAGAAAAAGAAAGACCGATTAGAAATTGTGTGAATTGTATTTAATAAATATAAAGATGTCATTTTCGATAAAAAAAAAAAAAAAAAAAAGAAGGGAGAATAAATGAATGCCACCATTATAAAAAAAAAAAAAAAAAAAGAAGGGAGAATAATGATCCACCATTTATTAAGTGGAAAAAGAAAGAGAGAAAGAAAGAAACAGTTAATAATCTAGGTCCATTGTGATTTGTGAGGATTTGTGGCCCATCCATTACAAATGACAATGGGCTATTTATGTGCATTTATGATAGGAAACAAGAAGGCCCACCATTGAATGATAGGTTAGCCCACTAAGAATATTCTTCAATTTTCACATGTCAAAGAATCTTTTATCAGATGGGTAAAACATATATTTTCAGTGGTTCTGAAATTTCGTTTTCAAGTACACCAAGCTTCTGAAATGTATGTTTCTTACTGGATATGTAATTCAAGTACACCTATTTGTTAACAGTAAAAAGTAGTAATTTGAATTAGCTGCAAGAGATTAATTTTAATCTTCTCTGTAAGAAAAAGCAAAAAAGAGAAGAAGAAAAAGAAAAAGAAAGAGTGGGCCAGCAATTTGATGTGAACCATAAAGAATATCTTAATTTCCTTTCTACTCTACATTGATTATGTGAAAGAATGATCTTTTTTCCACGTGTTAGGTGCAGTTCTATCCAAGTTTGACAACCATAATGAAACAAAGTAGTATAATTGGAGAATTAATTTTCTTATTTTCTTTATTTTTATCATCAATAATATATTATTTTATGCAAAGTAAAACAATCAAGAAAAACATATAATTTAATGGTAAATATATATACGATTGGATCCAGCCTCATACACTATTTCAGAGTATATTTCGCAGGCAACGTGAAATGCATCAAGAAATGAACTCAATAGATTTCATTCGTAAAAATAAAAAATTTAAAATTTGAAATTTATAGGGTTTTATCGGAATATCTAATCTTGTGAAATGTGCAAACTAGAAAGTACACTTTTCACCGACACATTAACTCTCAAATGATTTGAGAATTGCAGAGGATTAGGCCATAGTTAAGTTAACACCTTTCTCTTCTTCTTCTCCGTGTATTAAACTGAGGAAAAACCGAAAAACATGGGCGGTGATGTCCGACACTGCAATCCAAAAATAACTACCAACCCCTGAGGTGCCTGTTTCAGGTGGGACCAATGCACATATGTCCATTGTTAATTTGGCTGTTTCCAATAAAATTACAAATATCTATCAAATCATTTGAATGTTTGTCGGTTTTTCCTTTCATTTCCTCCAATCCAAACACATCACTAATTGTTTTTAAATGACATTATAAACTAATCAAGAAAGTGATCTACAAGATACAGGTAAATTCACGTTCTAGTTAAAGCCAATCTTTATTATATAAAGGAAAACCACTGTGAAATAGTTGAGTATTAATCAGCAACCCCGATTGGTAGAATGGTGGAAGAAAAACAAGCCCTTTGAAAAGTAATAATGTGCTTTATATTAAGATACCATACTTACAATGGTTCAAGATAATCATTTTTCCACTATAGCTGCAAAAGAAGTCAAGCCATATTAAACAATTCAAGCAAATTTTTTTCTTAACTTTCAACAATGATGTCACCTATCCATTAATGCATTTGTAACAATCTCTCTCTCTCTCTCTCTCTTTCTTCTCCACAAACCTTCTTACTCAAAAGTGTCACTTACTTAGTTCTTTAAGATCAACTGTTTTGCTTTTCTGTTGATCAATTTTAGTAAACTTCCAATCATCTATAACTGAAGCAACTAGTTTTATTACCATTCCTTAACTCCCTCTAAGAAAATACTGTTTAGGTTCTTGAATCTTGCCACCTAATCCATTTTTGCTTGTTCACCACCCAGTCTTCTTAATTCTCATTACTTTGCTTGTACTGTATGTGGGTCTTCTTTTTTTATGGTCTCATTGTCTATTGTCCATTTGTTTCTTTAAGCCATACGCAATGTTTTTGTTCAAAATGATGTTTCATTTCCCCATTACTTTCTTTCAATTTTCTTCTTCTCATTTTGATGGGTGGGTGAGATCTTGAAAGTTGATTTCTCCTGCTTCCTTGGGGTGAAATGGGGATGCGGGTGGGTCTTTTGCTGGTGATCTCTTGTATAAATGCTTGTGCTTTTTCGGTTCTTGGATCTGCAGGTAATGGGATTTGATCTTTTAGGCTTTTGAGTAGGTTTCTTTCTTTGAATTGTGCATGATCCATATATTTGATTGATATATTACTGGTAAATTTTAAATTTGGACTGAATTTTAGAATCTGGGTTATTCTGTAGCATAGTCGTTTCTGTTATCATCAACAGGAAAAGAAAGATACTCAACACCCTTTACTTTCCACTAAGAGGAGATTTTTTTTTTTTTTTTTATTTTACAGAATTGGGTAGGTAGTACAGTGCAAAATTCTTCTTTTTATTTTAAATATATGATTCTATTGATGCCCATTACTGAATTGCTATTGGAATTTAGGTACTAGGTAGTTTATGCTTTCTTTTCGGTCTGTAGATTCTGCCAGCATGTCATTTCTATGTGATATAGAGTCTTTAAGCTTAATTTGAAAGTTGTGAAGCTTAATTTCTATTTTTTATTAATCAAACATTAATTAATGCTTTATTCACTGACATGATTCCATAAGTTATCAATTTTTAATAATGGGGTATGATTAATCCAAGAACTGAAGATTTGATTACATCTTGATCTCACTCTCTCTCTCTCTCTCTCTCTCTCTCTCTCTCTTTTCTGCACAGATATCACCTGCTAGCCATTTCTTTATTTCAAATGCCGAGTGTTTCTAAGCACCAATAATTGCCCTTATGATAAATCTCTGTTTATACTGTCCATTATATTAATTTTCATGAAATCTTTGCATTATAAAACCTTCAGAGGATTATATAAAAAATACCCTGTTTAATTGGCTGTTGGTTCATTCTATCATATACTTTGTCACAGGCCCTGCCTCTGCTCTTAAACAAGCTCCTTCCAGCTTTGGCAGGATCACACATGGAAAGCTAGGCATTTTACCACCAGACAAAGCATTCCACACATCCTCATTTCTGGATCATCTTCCAACAGAGGGTAGGAGCATAATTGAGTATTTTTCCACTTGCAAAAGTAATATGGAGATAATAAAATTTCATGCATATAGTATTAAAAGGTCTTTTCCTGTTGCAGCCCCTCATACTAGGCCTTCAAGTATTGCTCTTTCACCTTCTTCATCGTCATCTAGAAGTCCTGCAAATAAGTGGATGCATGTTCATTCATATTCACCTTCAATCTCAACTCACCGAAATCATCACCACTCAAGAAATCATTACAGCAATCCTAAACCATCTTGTTCAATTCCTCCGCTAAGTTACCACCAGATAGGTACGGTTCTTGACTAAAAAGAATCTTGATTAGTTTGTTATGTAATTCTCTTTGTTTAAGCACCATGCTCAAAGTTCTTATAATTTTTTATGTAACATATAGCTCCTTCAGTCTCTCCGTTCCACTCTCCATCTCGTTCATCAGTAAGCTGGAATTCTCTTGCACCAGCATTATCACCAACTAGCCCGATGTACCATTTTAATAGTATGGGAAGACTTATTTCCGTATTTGGTTTAACACTGGATTTGATTACTTCATTTTATGATGATTTACAACAACCAATTAACCTTGGATTTCATTACTTCATTTCTAAGTGCACGTTAATCCTCCTGCAACGTCTCCAATGGGTTCTTACCTGAAGAAGATGAAGGCTCCACAACCGTCACAAATTTTGTCTCTTCCACCTCCACCTCCTAATGGAGGTAAATATAGACCGAGTTCTTGCCACTTTATATCCATTGAGTATCTTGTTTCATTTTTTGGGTGCATCAAGAAGGTATTTTTATTCTTATCTCTTGGATGTTATCTGTCTTGTAGATTGTGGATCGTTAACATGTAAGGAACCACTAACATATACACCTCCTGGGACCTTTTGTGGATGTGTATGGCCAATTCAAGTTAAACTCCGCCTTGGTGTTGCAATATACTCATTCTTTACTTTGGTCTCAGAGCTGGCTGAGGAAATTGCAGCTAGTGTTTCACTGAACCACAGCCAGGTCCACATCATGGGAGCAAATGCAGCTAGTCAACAACTAGAGAAAAGTACTGTTATCATCAACCTGGTACCATCGGGCATAAAGTTTGCCGATAGTACTGCACTTTCAATCTACAAGAAGTTTTGGAGCCGGCAGGTTCCAATAAAAGCTTCCCTCTTTGGCACCTATGAAGTATTATATGTTCACTATCCAGGTTATTATCTTTATTGACATTTTTTTTTTCTGGATAATTTGACTGCTACTTCTTATCTTCTACTAATTTCATGCTCTGTCTTGTTCTTAAGGCATGCTTGATCAAGCCAACTTAATGTTAAAAAATTTTGCCGAAATAAATGCATTCTACCTTTTTTTTGACATGCCAATTAAAGAGTCATGAATTGGTGAAGTGTTTGTCCAAATATCATGTCCCAGAATTTTCTTTGATGATTATCACGTTCTTAACTTCTTGCTATGTGAAGACTGAAGACTATGAAGCTGGTCATTAGAAGTAGTCAGTGAAATAAATTTTCGACATTGTTTGTTATGTATATATTCAATTGTATCTCTGAAGCTCTTACAACATGCAGGTCTTCCACCATCTCCACCTTCACCTTTGAGCATCTCTACTATAGATAATGAACCATATCCTGGCCGTGACAACAATGGAATAACAAATAAACCTTTAGGAGTTGATGTTCCAAAGAGGAAGAAAGATGGCCTTAATGGAAGCTTGATAGCTGTAATAGTTGTCTCCTCTTTCACTGCTTTGGTTATATGTATTGCTATCGCCTGGCTTTTGCTGTTGAAAAGAGGAAATTGTGTTCATCAACCTCAGCAAGTTTCGCAAGCCTCAGTTACCTCTCCTACAAAACCATCAGGTTCTTCAATTTTGGCCTGCTTATCCAAATTGTCTAGGAAATCCTCGAGTTATGCACTGTTTATTTGTCAAGTTCATTATTCTATGCTTGGCAGGGACAGCAGGTCCAACAACTTTTGGGAGCATGCCTAGTTCTACATCAATGTCCTTCAGTTCTGGTGCCATGACATATACAGGATCTGCTAAGGTTTTCACCTTGAATGACATAGATAAGGCTACCAATAAGTTTGACTCTTCAAGGATCCTTGGAGAAGGTGGCTTTGGGCTTGTCTACAGTGGCAGGTTAGATGATGGAAGGCAGGTGGCTGTGAAGGTTTTGAAGAGAGATGATCAGCATAGTGGTCGTGAGTTCTTGGCAGAAGTTGAGATGCTTGGCCGTCTACATCACAGAAATCTAGTTAAATTGATTGGAATTTGCACAGAGGAGCATACCCGCTGCCTAGTCTATGAACTAATACCAAATGGAAGTGTTGAATCTCATTTACATGGTGGGCATAAATCTTGAGAAATCTTTTTTTTTTTTCCTTTTTGCTTCTTTCTATATGATTTTTCAAAACGTGTTATATTTAAATGTTCTTGCAACCATTTCTTCAAAAAATACTTAAAGTGTTGTTTCCTAGGAGTGGACAAGGAAACTGATCCACTAGATTGGGAGTCCCGAATGAAGATTGCCCTTGGAGCAGCACGAGGCCTAGCCTATCTGCATGAAGACTCAAGTCCTCGGGTCATACATCGAGACTTCAAGTCCAGTAACATCTTGCTAGAACATGATTTTACACCTAAGGTTTCAGATTTTGGCTTGGCTCGAGCAGCAATGGATGAGGGAAACAAACACATTTCGACACATGTTATGGGAACTTTCGGGTGTGTTTATGCTATTTATTCTGCTTATGGAAGCTCTTCATATAGCTGCTTGATTCTTTCTGTACTTTTTTCATTTTGCAACTTACGAAAGAGTATCTCAGCAGACTAATTTCTTATTCCCAGATACTTGGCTCCAGAATATGCTATGACTGGACATCTTCTTGTGAAGAGTGATGTTTACAGCTATGGCGTAGTCCTTCTTGAGCTACTAAGTGGCCGAAAACCTGTAGACTTGTCCCAACCACCTGGTCAGGAAAATCTTGTTGCATATGCTCGTCCACTCCTGACAAGCAAGGAAGGCTTAGAAACAATTATAGACCCAGCTATAAAGTCTAGTGTCTCCTTTGATACAATAATCAAGGTAGCAGCAATTGCATCGATGTGTGTGCAACCTGAAGTGTCTCACCGTCCTTTTATGGGTGAAGTAGTTCAGGCCTTGAAGCTTGTTTGTAATGAGTTTGATGAAACAAAAATGCAGCAGTCAGGAAGTAACAACTATGAGAATCTTCTGATTGATATAGATAGCAAAACCATAAGAATTTCAGGTGAGATAATGGAAGTTTCACAATCCCATCACCAACTACCATTATCAGCATCTGATTTGTTTGATACATCAGTGGGACATGAGGACCCAGAAGTTGGGTCTTTCAGGAGGCACTTCAGTTCAGGACCTTTAGGAACAGGAAGGAGAAAACATTTCTGGCAAAGATTAAGAAGTTTGCCCAGAGGCAGCATGAGTGAGCACGGATTTTCACTTAAATTATGGCCTGGAACCAGTTAAATTTGCCAAAGAAGCGAAAATTCAATTATATATGGATTAATTTAAGCTGCAATTGCAATCACCAGCTTTTCATGAACTGCTCTAGAAGATTTTGACAGAAGTTTGAAGATGTGCAACCCCGCAAAGAAATTGAACCTGGTGAGATGCTGATAGATTTAATATGGAACCTCCAGCACAATCAGTAGATGACATAATTTTCTTGTATATCTTTTTTTTTTAATGAGGTCTAGTTTTGATCCAAGCATTCCTCATTTTTTCTCTATTCAGTTCCTCCCGTATTTGTTACATTTTCGTTTGGTGTTAAGGAATTCCTTTTGAGAAGCAAAATGTCTTGTATGAGTAAATCCATGAAATTCCCAAACTTGAAAATTGTATGTGTTAAGACATTATTCTTCTAAAAATTCCTTCAAATTCTGTATCCTACTTTCTATATCGCTTATGCAAAGACTTCGCGACCTTCTTATAACCTATTAGGCCCTCCATCCTGATATCTAGACTTTAGAATCAGTTTTTGGATTCTAATAATATGGAATTTTGGGGGTTTCTAATAAAATGGAGCCTCTCTTCATGTTTACCATCACTTGCTGTAGAAAGCAACTCTAAAAACTATTTTAGTGCTTAAAAGTTCTATAAATTACTGAACTAAAATTTCCTCCTAAGACAAAGTGTGAGAAATCAATCTTCTTAACAAGTATAGAATGGTCATTGGTGCCACTAATGATTAGACAAAGACTGATTGCACTTGCTGATATAGGATAAAGATACATTAACAAGATGTCAAATGTGAGCTCATTTGTTCTATGTTGTTGAGATGTCAAATCTTGACAAAGATAACCAAAAAGAAAAAAGTCTTATTTCTTTGAAGATCATGAAAAGCTCACAGTTGTAACATTAATAGAACTTCTTTTTCATGTCTTGTACCTCTCATGGTTGTCAATAGTTATAGTTGTAATAGTTGTTGTATTAGGTTAAATCCATTTCTTTATCAAGATTCATGAGTTAGAGATCCTTAATCTTCTCGTTCCAAGAACAAATAATGGTTTTACACTCTTATACAAAATTCAAGAGGCATACTTTACTAGATCATATATATATATATATATATATATATATATATGCCAACTTAAATGCTTACATTACATTCATAATTCTTTCACCTACCTTCCATGAATCCCAAGAATGGTCCCTCACACTTAATGTTAAAGTAAATTGCACAGTTATCTTGTCAGGGAAATAATTAATTCTCCTCCTCCAAATGTTGTAGCAGGCTAACAGCTGGTGTGTGTGGGTGTGTGGGTGTGTGTGTATATATATTTATAAGCACATGATGGTAGCTCACCCAATCTTGTGGTTCCTGTTAGAAGCTTCTATCAGCTTTTGCAACTTAGCTCTTAAAAGATTTTCAACTACCTAATCTCTGTTTGGTAATGAAGTTGATTTTTGCTTTTCTGATGAACAAAGGGCTGTGAGAAAATGGCACTTTTATTTGCATTTAATGCAAGTAATAATGGAGATTTTAATTTTTGAATTGAAAATTTTTTGTTTAAACCTGACACATCTTAGACTTCTCTTACATGATATGAGATCCTACTATGGGATTAGATGCAAATTGTCATTTTTTTTTTTTTTCTCCAAACAAAAACCAATCAGTGAAAAATGAAATTTTCAAACCATGGGATTTAGGATGCAAAAATAATAAAATGGGAATTTGATTTCCAAAGGCAAGTCATTTTCCACACACAACAAATTAAGAATGCTTTCTCAGAACATATATTACAATATTTCAACATCAATTTCCACTGCTTAAACTAAAACTACTCCTTCAATTCCCCTTTCATGCATTTCTTCTTGATAATTGATTGTTCCTTAAACACCAGCTGCCTCTCCTAGTCTCTCTCTCAAAATCTTCAGTCCCATGTACCTAGAAACAAGAACTCAAGTCACTTGTCCAAGAATTAGAATAGTCAAAAAATAAGAAAAGAAAAACTATAGAACATTTACCTGCCCATCATCAAGACAGTTGCTTGAGGATTAGTGCCAGGAGATTCATCAAATGTTGAGCCATCGACGATCCGAAGTCTTTGAACACCAAGAACCTTATAATCTACAGGGCTCACTACCTTGCCAACATGACATCCACCATGATAATGCCAAATTGTGATGACAGTATCTTTACAGAACTGTTCTAAGGATTTAGTGTCATTAGGATGCCTAGGTATAAGATTGACATTAGCAATAACACTCTTGTTTAGAATCTTTTCCACAGTCTGTTTATCGCATTTTGTGAAGTTTGTAAAGTATTCTGATTGCACAATCTTTGTGGCCATTCTTATACCATTAACACAGCGTTTTAGATCTTTTGGATGTTTGAAGTAGTTGAAAGTGATTGAAGGGTTATCATCAACATTTGTGTTTATCAACCTTAACTCTCCTGTCGAAATGGGGCTTGCAAGCTTTTCAAGAATGAATCCTCCTTTGAATGCTTCATGGGGTAACTCCTTCTTTCTCTTAATGTAGGCTTGAATTGCTTCTAGTGTTCTTTGCTTCGGAGGAATTGTAGATAGCTGCCCTATCTGATTCAAATATTCACATGCATCATTAGAAATTACCTCATGAGCTGTGAAGATATTACTACTAAAACTGTCTTTATAATTTATAATGAACTGGGCTATATCCTTAGAACTTTGATGCTCAGGTCAGAGCCTAATTAACCAAATTAAAAGTTAAAAAAAATATAAAAAATCAAGTGATCATGTACCTCTGCAGACATGATTCCATGGTTGCAATGAATGCTATCTTTGGACTGCCCAAATCCGCTGCTACCTTCAATATAAACACCCAATTTAGTGATTCCAACAGCTTGTATTAGGGATTGCTGTACCGGCACTTTGGATGGAACAAAAATAGTGTTCATGGGATTATCAGCCATTCCTTTCCCTACAAATTCATTGTCAAGTACCACTGGAATTTTCATTCTTTCAAGTTCAGCTTTTGGACCAATACCACTCAGCAGCAACATTTGTGGTGTTCCAATCGCTCCACTTGACAATATTATTTCACTTCTTGGATTATTTGAAAGAAATGCTTGGTGTTGGTTTCCATTTTCATCTTTGAATATCACTCCTACTGCCTTTGGATGCTTCCCTGCATTACCCATTTCAAAATTTTCTAAAATACATATTTGCATAGCTCTTTTGACGTTCTGATAAAATTAGTTAGCATACCTGATGTATCAAATAGGACTTTTTGGACAGTGGCATGTACTAAAACAGTAAGCATCTGAGGGTTGCTGGAGGCAAGAAGTTCGGCGGCGGTGTGCCGGCGGCCGAACTGGTCAAAGATTGTGCCACCAAACTTAGTTCCATAAATATGATCATAAGTGAAGCCATTAAAAGGTGATACCCCAACATCCAATAGACTATCTCTTAGAGCAACCTGCCAAGGGGCAACCTTAGGCTTATGAACAATTTGGCTCTCTACCCATGGGTATGACTTATTTACCAAATTTTCATCCCATCCTACTTTCTTTATAAACCTGCAACACATAATTAAAATGATCATGTATAATATAATTTTTTTATAATTTTTAATTTTCAGACTTTTCACTTGCGAGTTATGATTTAAAAGAATATATATTCGCAGGATAGAAATAATATTTTTATAAAAATAGAAAAAAAACTACATACGTTAACTTCGTTGTCAACAGTTACAATCCATAAATAATAAATAGGATGGTTGACGCATTAGGTAACGATTTTAAATTTCTAAATTTTGCCATGCATTTCTGTTGAAGTAGGTTGTTGCATTTATGTAGTAGTATCTTTTACCAATACCTAATTTTCTTAAATGGCATAATTAATTTTGTCAGTATGACTTCTAAGAATATGACATATGAGAGGGAGAGAGAGAGAGAGAATTAGAGAAAAGAAGCTGTAAGTGCTTAATTTCTTGACAGTTGGACGACATAAATAATCAATTAGTACTAGAACTTAGTCTATATTTGTGGAAACCATCCATATATGCCCTTGTCTTTCATCTTCATGGATCAAAGTCAGTGTCACATTGACACGTGTGACTAAACCCTAATCACTACCACACACAAATACACAATATATAATTCAAAGAAAATAGTTAGAATGACAATCAAAGAAAGTTTAAACTTTAATAGAAAATAAAATTAATAAAAAAAAGTACACCTAATTTAAGAGTGCAATTTTTTTTTTTTTTTGCATTTTGACCCTTTATTGTTGAAAATTAATCATTTAATTCAAATAAAATAATGTTTTTCTTTCTAAATTCAGTTAAAATATGTAATGCACCATTCAATTGTAAAAGAAATTATTAATGTATTAATATAATTTTAGATTTAGCGATGAACAAAACCATTATTATATAAAATCAAATTTAATAACTAAACACTTCAAGTATAATATTCATTTCGACATCAACATTTGTTTAAGGAAAATATAAACATTTTCCTCCGAATAACGGAAAAAACTAATTCATTAATTAAGACAAGAAAATTCATAAATGCTTAGGATAAAGGCATGATCATGAATATAATATGGTCACCTTCATTATATTCAAACTCCAAATAAATGTCTTGCCACCTGAAAATTAATATTGTGAGTATGTGGCCATTAATTTATTAAATATGAACATGGCTTCTGTTTAAGTTTTCTTTCGATCCTCCAAAACATATAATTAATGCTACACCAATATTTATTTATGCTCGGTTTGCTATAAATAAATTCAAAATATGAAATTTATTTGTAAATAATTTTTTTATTTGGTATGATTAATTTAAATCATTTAATTCAATTGAATTTTACATAATCATGTATGAAGCAAATTAATTGAAAATTCATTTACTTTTGTTTTTTAAAATATCTTTGAAATAGTAATTTCACAAAACAAATAATAAATATTAATTATATTTATGTTATGCTATATAATTTTTTATATTTTTATTAAAATAAATATATAAAATAAAAATAATATTAATAACATTATGACATTTAATTTAGTGATAAATGGATATTTAAAAAGTAAAAATAATATTAATTAAGCATTATGACATTTAATTTAGTGATAAAGATGGATATTTTAACGTTGAATCTCTCTTATCTGATAATAACAAAAATACTAAAAGATATTAAATAAGGATGAAAAAATATTAAATAAAAAAACACAAATGATTAAAAAGAAATTTCTAAAGAAAATAAAATTTTTTAGAAGAATGGTTTTTTTAAATATATAAAATAAAAATAATATTAATAACATTATGACATTTAATTTAGTGATAAATGGATATTTAACTTGAATCTCTCTTATCGATAATAAAAAAATACTAAAAAATATTAAATAAAGGATGAAAAAATATTAAAATAAAAACACAATGATTAAAAAAATTTCTAAAAAAATAAAATTTTTAAATGGTTTTTTTTTAGATAGAGAATGATAATTTTGTCATAAAAAGTTGGATCGCTTACTTTATAGAATTTATTTAAAAATGCCACCTATTTTTATGAAATTTGGTGTATTCATATCCAATTCCATGGAATTGAATTCCTAAAGTTGAAATCTACTTTTATTTTTCATTCTAAATTCAAAAATATAAATTTTTAAATGAATTTCACAAAATTTTTTAGAATTCATTTGTTACAAACAAGTTTAAAGTTATAAACGATAATTAAAGGTGTATTTCCCCTTCAGAGATTGGAAAATTCCTAGTAAATAGTAATAACATCGTTGGTTCCTTTTCTCTTGTTTTTTTTTTCCATATGTAGATAAATTATTTTTTTCACTCATTAATCCTGCAACCATGGCATTTAGTACGTTATGAATATATTGTTAACTTTACCTTTCTGTCCCTACAAACCCATTTTCTCCTATTTTCTTGTACTCCATGTCCAAGGGTAATGTCGACTAATTGTATATAGTCTAATAAACTTTCAGCTCCATAATTTGTTTCAATAAAACAGCTATATATAGTCTTTGAAATTATGAAAATTTGTATTCAACCTCATTTAAATTCGAATTAATTAGAAAAATAATAAATAACTAAAATTAGAAAAATATTGAAGAAAGTAATTTATAAATTAAAAAAAAAAAATTTCAAGAAGACATAGATATAGATATATACCTTGTGCTAGCTCTGGTGTAGAAGCCAGCATTGATGCTAGTACCACCACCCAAAACCCTACCTCTAGCATTGAGGACTCCATCAGTAGAAATGAAGTACTGAGAAGCAGAAGTTGGAGAAATATCTGCCAGAGTTATATGAAAGTTGCTTAAGAAGGAGACATTTGGATTTGTGAAAGGTACACCTCCTCTTTCAAGCAATAACACACTGAAATTTTGCGACAGTGTTGCAGCTAAAGGACACCCAGCTGTTCCTCCACCAACTACTATATAATCATACCCATTTTCTCTACTTCCACTTGATGAAAATGATGATGATGATGAGAATGTGCTTGCCTTCTTTATAAACGGGTAATCAGATGGATATGAAGTATGCTTATAACCTACATTGCAAATATATTAAAAATAAAAAATAAAAGTTCACAATTTTTATATATTTATATTATTTTTTTATCTGTATATATGATCTCCCTTGGGTAGTAAGTATAGATTTAATGACATAATAAATACCCTAACTGCCAACTACCCATCCTGAGCTGTAAAATTATGAAAAGTAAATCACATTTATGGTGGTTTGCTTCTATTCTAGTAGTATTCTGTTATTCACTTCGAGGCATTGAAGAATCAAGAAGAAGAAAAAGAAAAAGAAAAAGAAATGCTATGAACACATCACAAGGAAGAAGAAGAAACAACATTTTAATTATTTATGCAGTACAACAAAACACTTTCTATTTCTTGTTAAGAACATTATTAGTTAAGCTTTAAGCAACTAAAACTAAAGAAAATATGTAAAGGAATAAATAGTATTTGGAATTTCTTCATGCACCCGGTAATTATTAAGTATGGAAAAACTTTCTCGAGCAAAGTCTGTGCATAAAGAACGAAAAATCAAGAAACAAAAGAAACATGAGAGAGAGGAAAGAGAGAAAATTAAAGAAAGTGGTGTAAGTAAAGATATAGAGAAAGAACCTTCAGAAGAGGAGAGAGTGAAAACCCACAGAACCAAGCAGGAAAAAAAGAGCTTCTTCACTGCCCAAGCAGAAGCCATTGAAGGCAGAGAGAGACAAAGCAACTGAAAGACTAACAGAAGAAGCTGCTTCTTTCAACCTCTATGTGGCTTTCTCTGGTTGGCCTTGTTTTGTGTGTTATATACACATTCTCGCATATATTTATTCATATATTACTATATATAAAGTTATGTTATTTACAGATCATTCTAGACCAAAAAAAGTAGACAATTTTTATTTTTGTTTTTCGATTTACAATCGTGTGTATATACACACACACTGTAGAGAAAGCTTAGACAGTATAAGTAATGAAGGCTTATACTGTAATAAATAAAAAGATGACTGAAAGTTAACTACAACTGGAAGGGTTCATTAATGGTGGCCATGAATGCTGCGGTTCGATTACATTGAGAACATTAATGGCCCTTGGATTCACTATCTCTCTCTCTTTCTGATCTTACCATCTCCATCCAATATTTTATTGAATTTGACAGTTTTTATAATTATTTTATTTTAATTTTACTTTTATCTATATCTTTCCATTAAATTTTACCAATTTATTGAGCATTAATAAAGGGGTAATTAGACAATTGGGGTGGTTCAACCATTCTCTAAAGAATTTATTTTTCTTTTCTTTTCTTTTTTGGTTTATATTTGAAGAACTGCTTGTAATTACTCATTTTTTTAATTCTTATTACATGAAATCAATGTCTTAAAATATAGTTTTAAATAAAGTGAATATTCTCAATCCATTAAGCCTCCTACAATTAAAAAAAAATGAATACCCTCAGCTAACTATATATATTGAAATTAAATTTCTTTTCCAAGTGAGTCCTAAGGATTTATTCTACACTGTTAACCTGTACACTTGACTATAACAAGGAAGAGAAACCAACGACATTCATTGTAAATTTGCAATTCTATTTACCTACAAACTCAAAGAAAAAAAAAGTAACGAGTGATTTAACATTCTTTTCTTTTAAGTGAAGTCATAAGTTTAATCTTTAGAGATAAAATAAATATTCTGCGAGTGCTTCACTCTTTAAAATATTATTCAGCATAAATAAGATTTAATATGATTTAATGAGCCAAAAATATATTTGGTTAGTATTGAAAAAGAAAAAAAGAAATAAAATAATGTCCTAACTGATTTGGTTGCATGTCCATTGAAATAATGAATAGTTGCTCTCTAGTATTGCTTCCTTTTATTAATCAACAAACTACTGTGACGGCTGTAAACAAACCATTCACTCGTTTCCTCTAACCTAGCTAGCTACTCTTGTTCTATCTTAAATTTTTTAGTTGGTCACCAATCATAACCCTCTTCCTTTAGCTGTTTTTTTTTTTTTTTTTTTTTTTTTTTTTTTCACTCGTTTTCCCTCTAACCTAGCTAGCTACTGCTTTGGTTCTATCTTAAATTTTTTAGTTGGGTCAGCCAATCTAACCCTTCTTTGCCTTTAGCTGTTTGTTTTTTTTTTTTGTTTTTTTTTTTTTTGGTATTATGAACGAATTTTTTAAGTATAATTTTAATAATTCTTTCAGTGGATTTTTATTGTATTTTCTCTCTTTTTATGGAAATATTATTGGTTTTTATGTTATGTTTTTTAATTGTTCTTCTCTAGCAATTTGAAACTTTACAAATAGTGGAAATGTCTCATTCTTTATTATTTGAGACTTTAAATCTTCAAAATCCAGTAATTTTGGTTTACCAATAAATCCTAGTGGTATGGCGTATTCTTTTTTTTTTTTTTTTTTTTTTTTTTTTTTGGTATTATGACGAATTTTTTAGTATAATTTAATATTCTTTCAGTGGATTTTATTGTATTTTCTCTCTTTTTATGGAAATATTATTGGTTTTTATGTATGTTTTTATTGTTCTTCTCTAGCAATTTGAAACTTACAATATGAAATGTTCATTCTTTATTATTTGAGACTTTAAATCTTCAAATCCAGATAATTTTGTTTACCAATAAATCTAGTGGTATGGCGTATTCTATTATTGATATTTAATCAACCTAATTTCAATTCTTCTTTAGGCGTCAACTACAATAAATTCGTGAAAAGCAAAATTGAAAGAGTTTCTTTTGTAGTTCAAATTGAAAAAAGATTACCTGAAAAATAATCTCTTAAACAAATCATTTCCTAACAAAAAAATACTCGGTCCGTCCCGTTTTATTTTCATGGTTTGACAAAACACACATATTTAGTCAATAAAATTTGTTTTGCTCTTCTTTACTTTTAATAACTCATTAATATACTAAAAGCTCTTTTATTTGATAAACAATTATAAAAGTTATATGAAAAAATAACTATTTACACGTCTAAATTTATAAATCTAACAAATATTTTAAGACATAAAGAAAATAATTATACAGAGTAGTATGGTCCCTACTCCGGTAGTAAAATGACTCACAGATACAGTCTGTCAAGTGCAGAGCTAGTTGGTGCTAGTTGGTGACAGGTCAAGGTTAATTTATTTCAATTTTACAGAGCTTTTTAATGGGTAAATAATTTATAATGAATATAATTAAATAGGGTTTGGAATTTGGTACTGTGTAAATAATTATGAACACCCAATCCTATTTAGTTTAGGTAAGCTTTCATATATTTGTATTAAATAATTAAATTATTTCTTTATGTAATTATTATTTTACAATCGGATCATATTCGAGTTCAAGTGAATTAAATTTTTGAGTGTCACCTAAACCTTATTCAGATTCAGTTAAAACCTAAAATTTCAAATTTGATAAGGTTCAAGTGAGATTAATTTTGTCATCCTTATTTACTGCTCACCTCATTTCTAAAACTTCATAAAACTTTAATTACTGGAGAAGAAAGAAAAAGAAAATGTTGTTCAACAATTTTAATTGAATGAGGTACTGGGCATTAGTGGCCCTGGCCCATTTGTTTCATACATTTTTGGAACAAATTCTCAAATTTTAGGAATAGTATATTTATACAAAATTATAATATTCAACAATTACACCCAACTCCAGACCTGTCTCATTGATGCCTCTGTACTTGAGAGAGTTGCACGTGAAAAGGGTAACTCACTGCCTACCAGCAGAAAAAAGTAAAACCATGGATAATTCTGTGGTAATTTCAGAAAAATTACCTAATTGTTTGGTAAATCATAGCAACATTTTTTTTTTCAGACTATATTTTATCCTGTTACTATATTAATTGCCAAATTGCCTATGAAATTCTATATCGGTATGAGAAAAAATACATTGTGCTGATTGTATTAATAAATAATTAATGTGAATTTTGAGCTAATTTTGTTTGCGATTAAATTCATCTTTATACACATAAAAAGATATTTTTCCCATTTGATATATTGCTCAATCCGAATATAAATAAATTAATAAATAATTCACCTTTATATCAAATCAAAGCTTGATTGAAAATAATTCAAAAAAAAAAAAAATAGCACATAATAATTTAATTTACTGCAAAATGAAATCAAATATCATTCATAAGAGATAAATTCCACAGCTACGCTTACATTTCCATTTTTAACAATTATTATAATCAGCAGATATATCATATGTTGTGTGGTCTATTTATGGCGGTCATACCAAATACCACAAAATATGAGCAACAATTCCAATTTAACTTAACAAAAACTGACCCCAAACAGAATTAGCGATGGAGAAGAATTTTCTCCATCAAATTTTGTGGTCGAAGGCAATTAGATCCATAAACTATACTACAGTTATTGCAGAAAATTTATAGGTGAAAGCTCATAGCCAGAAATTCCTGTCAGAAAATAGGACATGAACATTAGATATATGTTTTATACCAGTGATGAGTGGGCAATGGAGATTCATCTTCAAGTAAAAGAATTGAACTGACATTAATGTTGCAGGTTTTTTCAGGTTCCATTAATGGTTTGGCCAAGTTTTTTGTTAACAACATTTATGGAATGTTGTTCCATTTTGAAAGGACAACAAGAACTGCCATTGGCCAATCAAGTTCCTGCATCCGTTTAAGCACTATAAAATTAAAGACCCTAATAACAATACTGTAACAGATACCTAATTAGATTTTGAAAGAAATATTTGATGAATTTAGAAAGGAAAATTGAGATTAGCAATGGAAAGAGGAAATTAAAATAAATTATACTTTCACCATACAACAATTTCAGTTTAACAAACACCGCATTTAAATTCTCATAAGACAAAATTGAAGTCAAGCCAGCATAATTAACCACCATCAAGGTTTTAGACAGAATCCAATAGCTTGTCCAAAAAAATAATTATTAAAAAAAAAAATCAACACCTGCACTAATACAATAGGAACTACTGAATGGGGCTCCCTCATAATCAACTAGGCCCCCTGTATGCGGCACGTATACTAAAATCAATGCCTTCAAAATCTGTCTCTTGCATGCTAATCATACAAGAGCCGATAGCCGTGGACCGTGCAATACAACCACCCACCATAATGCGAGCAGAACGCTGTTATCTTTTAACAGTGATTTAATTGCTTCCCAATCAATGATTATCTCACCTAGTCATCTTTTGAGGCAGTCGAGTATTCAGTCCCATTTTCAGCAGAGGTTACCCTGGATGAAGCGCTTGACATGTCACTGCCAGTTTCATTTCCATTACGAAAACTTTTTGCTGCTGGTCCTGGAGTTCTATGAGTATTAGCAGCAGGCATTTGTCCTTCCTCAGCAAGTTTTTTAATAAGGTTCATAACAGTAGGAAGGAACTTCGTGGACAAGGAAATAAGCCCTGGAAGCTGTAAACAAAAGACTTGCAAGATCAGGCTTATCTTTGCAGAAACTAGTAAAATATTTACTTATTAATTAGTGACTAATTTTGAGCAAAGTAAAGCAAACACCAGATCAACGGTCTAATACAGAATTTAGTATCAAAAGTAAGAGTATGCTACAAGGATGATACTCACAGCGCCATTTTGGAATTCACCGGCAATGTCTAGTTGCACCCATAAGGCTTTAAGGAGTAGAAAAACTACAAAGATAAAAGCCAGGTAGAAGGGATTTCTGCCAAATTTTTTGTTTAAAAAAAAAAAAAAAGAAGGGGGGAAAAGTCAGCCCAACAAGGAATCTCATCTTTCATCTGACAAAATTAATTCCACAACTATATTATAAAGATGTACCTCAGAAGTGTCATAAATTCATTAAATCCCAATACAATCAAAGCAACAATTGCCCATGGGGGTGGTAACCAGTTGTTATTACGTTTGTTGGCTTCCTGAAAATTGAAATAAAAGAGAAAAATTAATGTTACACAGAAAGAAAGAGATATATGAAGCATGCATATTTAGCCGTATCTTAACTTATAAAAGCAAATTTTCAAATCTCTAAAGCAATCTAAAAAATATAACAGATATAACAGATAAAATGCTCAACAGCAGAGCATGAAGAGCAGAAAATTCTGGACATATGCCTGCATTTTACTTTCATTATGAAATATTTATCCTATTATTGAAAGCCAGGACAAATTCTGGTCAGATTTTTTTTGCTACTGCACCTTCCACATGCAAAGCATATTGCCACCTTATAAGACCTTTTACAATTTGTCAGTAACATCCAATTATTGTTAAATATTCAACAGTTTATCTTTGCCCTTAACCCACAGAGAACAGGAACTCCATTCACAAGTCCAATTCCATGTTAAAAGTCCAACTCCAAAGAGCAACCAGGAAAAGAGAGAGGGGGGACAGTGTGTTAGATGATTTATGGGTGAGAAAATCATGCCTGGGCAGAAATGGCCTGAGTGACACTGTACTCTGTCTCTGCCTTGAATTGCCTCCACAAAGACTTGCACTGGACAGGCGTGATCAACGTCCTTGATGGTGGAATCTGTAGTAGAAGAATCAGTTATCAGTGCCGATTAAGGATGCACAGTAAAGCAAAAGGGCTTCCAAAGAATAAGAGCACTAAAGGGAAACCCAAAAATTCTAAACAATCACCAGTGCCCCCTGTGCCAGTATGTAGGCCCAAAACATCAAGCAATGGACAAATTAATTTATGTTTTGTGCTGGAACCAGTCAAATAAATATTGATCTCCCAACACATAAAATAACAAGCAGCATGTACTGATATACATAATAAGCATGTTTTGGAGCTGCAGACCCATTCTTTCCATCACCAATAGGATTCATTTTACAAAGGCACATACTGCATTTAGAAATATGAAAAAAATAAAAAAATAAATTCAGAATTAAATTGTAGAAGTAGAAAAATAACAAAACCCAATATATTGAAGGGCTAGACTTAGTGACATTGCTAAATTTAATTAATTTAAGCACCATCCAGAAACAATTTATATGCGTAAGAATGCAAAGCATTTTCCAGTATTCAAATGATTTATGCTAGAAAACCCCTCCAATATCTGTTCAACATAACATGTAGTGCTTCAAAGTCCCTTTTCCTGTTAGTTATACATGCTTGCATAACAACATTACCTAAAACATACAACTATGAAGTGTAAACAGCAAGAAGAAAAGCAGCAAGTAAAGGAAACAAAAAAGAAAAGAAAGTCAACCTCATCCCAGGTGCTTGAGGCCAGTGGATCAACTGTTGTGATACTTCTCTCAGTGATGGCAGCATTGCTTTTGGTGCCCAACAATGCAGATGATAGGGTACTTTCAATCTTATCAACATCATCATCCAAACGGATTGCAACCATTACCGATAATAACTTTAAGGACTGGAAAAAGTTAATCAATCAAATTAATTGAGGACCTAAACCCAATGAAAAAATAAATTGAAAGATTCTTACATTCAACATTTGATTAAACTTGAAATGCAACGTACCGCGGAGCGAGCAACTTTTGTAATTGCTCGAATATCTTCATTTCCAGTCCAAACTCGTGGCATTGAATCAGAATCATGGCTAAATAACATTGAAAACCTGCACACGAATTTGACAGTTAAATCCCAATTCCTGAATATGCACATTGAATCAAATCAAATAACATAAACAAAAATATCCTGAGTAGCTACCGGTCTTTCATACGGATCAGGACTCGTCCAGCTTCTTCCTTTGCTTTTGCTTCAACTACACCTTTTGCATAATTCTCCAAACTTGTAAGCATTTTATCCTTAGTTTGTTCATCCATGTCAAAGCCAGTAAGTGCGCTAGATAGGCCAGCAACAGCGGTTTCTGTCTCACGCTGCAGAAGTTTCCTTATTGCTGGCCAAGTCTCATTGTTAGCTCCATCCAGAAGAGCTTCCACAGGTCCTGCTAATGCCTCATTTAGTTTTGCCTGAAATGTTCCCAGTGACATTTTATAGTCAACATCTAGGGTTCATAAAGCAGGATCTAAAAATTCTATCATTCTTTGCGTAATTTCATGTGAATGCTATCATCGAAAGACAAGTCTAACAAACCTTTACAATATATGAAATCTATGAATGTGTAGTTTTTCCTTAAATTAAGAATTTTGCTACAATGAAATATTAATCATCAAATTGCCCCATGCACATATTTTCTCCACCTTCACTTCAACTCAATTGAACTTCAAACAATTTCCAACCATAAAAAAGATTCGCCTAAATTCCAACATATTCACAGGTGCCCAAATTAATTTCCATATCAACAGACATTATATGGTGCACTTATCGTGCATCAAAGACAATTGCTTACATAAAATGTTTGAAGAGGACAAAACCTGTAAATAATCATACCTCAAATGATGATGTCAATTCACACAGTTTGGCAGCACGGACAGAAGCAACATGCGCATCTATATCACGTTGAAGCTTATCCCTCATTTTAGAGGTGTCCCAGTTTGCTTGTTCAATGATTGCATCTGCAATTATTATGAAGCAATGTTATAATAGACTTAGGTTAGCGTCTTCAATAAACAGCATGTCTAATCCTAAGTTCTTTCACAAAATGGGATGAAACAAAAGATCATCTGTATTTAGTGATCCAAGGATTTGTCTTCAAATTCTGAAGATCTAGTCACCATTCACTGTATTAAAGATTTTTGTCTCTCTCTCTTTTTTTTTTTTTTTTTTTTTTGTTTTAGAGGTGTCCCAGTTTGCTTGTTCAATTGATTGCAATCTGCAAATTAATTATGAAAGCAAGTGTTATATAGACTTAGGTTAGCGTCTTCAATAAAACAGCATGTCTAATGGCCTAAGTTCTTTCAACAAAATGGGATGGAAACAAAAGATGCAATCTGTATTTAGTGAGTCCAAGGAATTTTGTCGTTCAAATTCTGAAGATCTTAGTCACCAATTCACTGTATTAAAGATTTTGTGTCTCTCTTCGTCGTTTTTTTTTTTTTTTTTTTTTCTTCAGAGTTCTTTTTTTTTTTTTTTTTTTTTTTTTCTCAGAGTCTTTTTCCACATCATTCACGCAAATGAAGATTGGACAAGATTAGAAATAAGCACATCCAACCAAACGTGCACGTGACACACATTGGAGATAAAGTGAGAGGAAGGCATTTAAGATGGTTTGATCATGTCATACATATGCCCCCATGTGCTTCGGTTGTATTGTAATACAATGATGGTAGAGAGTGTCAAAAGGGGAAGAAATAGACCAAGGACCACTCGAAGGGAAGTTGTATCAAAGACCTACTACCTCTTGGCATTAGTGCAGACTTAAGTTATGAATAAAGCAGAATGGAAACAAAAGATTCATATAGCCGACCCCCATTGGTTTGGGACTAAGGCTTAGTCATTGTCCTTGCTGTATTCAAACAAATTAAGTGATATAAAGGAACTTAAAAATACCTGCACATCTTTCATCAAATAGAGCCATGTAAGACTGAGTGCAAGAATGAGCAGCCAAAGAAAACCCTTCCCCAGCATTCAAAGCCTTATCAAATGCTTCCTTGAATTTGTCAAAAGCCCCTGATCTTATATGACCCAACATTGATTGAAATGCCGGTTGGACAAGCTATCAAATTGGAAGAAGACAAACAATGAGAAATTAAAAGAAAAACAGCCAAACATGTTCAAATTTTGGATCGGTAAAATAGATACCACGTAAAAGAATCAATTTATACATTAAAATGAAAAATAATTGAAACATCCATTCATACAACTGCTGAGGAGAGGAATCCCATATTATGAAATGCAGTTAGGCTTACTTGATATTTGGAAGCCTCAACCTAGTAGGTCAAGTCTTTTGGTTGGACACCATAAACAAGGGCACAGTGACGCAGATGGCTGCTCGAACAACACAATTAAGTCCTAGCTGTACATGTCTAGTCACATGCCCATAAATTTAACATTTTCCCTTTACCTCTCCATTCCTATCTACAGCTAAAACCAACATGTAAACATCCATACCACAATAGTTTTGCTTATAATTTGAATGGATTTTTTTTACATTATATTTACAATTCTATTGGGAGGTTCACTGGACCATGGGCCACATAATGAATGATATCCTACTCCATCACATGAAATCCCCCCACTATTAAAAATTTATTGTTGGCGACCAATTCATGAACAGTACTAGAATTATGATGCTAATCTTGTAATTGTCAATCATATGAATCACAAGCAAATATCCACACTTTTAGTTGCACATGCCCCATGCTTCGAGTTGGACATAAGTAAGAAAAATATAACATTATCCGTTTCATCACAATGCTGCAGTCTTCTCTATAGATCAAATAGAAAACTGTACTATTTATTAGAAAAATGGATTACTTGTAGCAATTTCTCTTCAAGCTGCTTTCGCTTTGCAGATCTGACTCCTTCATCAAAATAAGTAGCTTCTGCATCATACCTAGAATTAAAAGAAAAGTAAAATGTCAATATTGCTAACAAGTGTATCAACATAGATTTTAAATCCAGAAAAGAAGATTCTCAGACAATATCATCCAGAGTAGACAACCAAACGGAAATTGCATCAAAAGCTTAATGCAGAAATGCTTATACGATAAGCCACTCTATCTGACAGTATAAATTCAGCTGTGGGATCAAACTGAAATAAATATCTAGGCTTAGGAGAAGGGAGCAAAGAAAAATGTAACATATGGAACCTCATACATTATCATGAGACAGGTCAACAGTCTGTGCATTGAACCTATCCACAACCGGAAATTATATATCCCAGCATACAAAGAGTTCACATCTAAGTAGTTATTTTTGCTACCATGTCTATCAGTTTTTATGAAAAGAATTCCATGTAGAATGTAAGTCTCCTAATACTACCAAATTGCACAATCCAAGTAGCACAGCTCGGAAATAGAGATGGCACATGTGACACAGCCATAGGCAGGAACCATAAAGCTGTCTATCCCCATATCCAATTACATTAGCAACAAATTCATTAAAAGCACACACATGGTTGAGAGTCAAACGCTTACTCAGACAGACATGCATTTAGAGTTGAACTCAGCATCTTTCCAAAACCAGAAACTGGTCCAGATTGTATAGCTTCTTCTATTTGACACCACTCCTGGCGTGTGGGTTATAAACAAATTTGGTCAGTTAACTTCTATCATTTATTTCAGAAAGTCAGCAAGATTAAGCTAACGAAAAAAACAAAAGAGAAATGTAAAGAGCATATACCTCATTTGCACTGAAATTAGCATACTTTTCATTAGCAATTTCTTCACAGCGTACAGTAGCAACCATGACCTGCAAATTGATGAATAATAGATATAATTACATAAATGTGCATGCATTTATTGTAAGCCCCTGTGTGAACAAGCATTAACAAAATTACCTTGTGGGCAGGAAGGTCAAGGTCCTTGTTCTCCTTGATGATCTTCCAGATTTGCTGCGAACTAAAGGAAAATCCAGAAGCAGGAACTGCACCCCGTCGATCTCCTGCCAGACCACCAGGTGCAATAGAATGATGGAAGCGTTGCCTCAAACTAGCAACCTTCATTAATAAAAGAGAAAACAAATTAATTAATAATGTCACCAAGAGAGATCTAGCTCCATGTCCTACAATACAAACTGGAATCCTAGAAATAAATTAAACGACTTGCAATGTGATAATTCAATGGTGAGGTCTGCACATTTGAAAGTCCAAAAAAAAAAAAAAAAAAAAGGTGAGGTCTGACATTTGAAAGTCCACAAAAAAAAAAAAATCATTTAATTTGATATGCCATCAAAAAAAAAAAAAAAAAAAATCATTTAATTTGATATGCATCTAACTTGAGAGCTTATTTCTCCTTCAACTATTACCACAGGGGCAGGGGAGCAACAACAATTCCAATATTAACATATTCTATAAATATATAATTTAATTTAAATAAAAATTTGGCTTACTTGCTCTCTGAATTGTTCTTCCTTTTCTTCAAAACTAGAAAGTGCAACAACTTCCACCTGTCCATACATCACAAGTGTGTTATCACCGTATATGCTCCATTTTACCTTCTAAAAGAAGACAGATAAGCTTATTTCAGCTAAAACTAAAAGGATGATATCTCACATTAAAGAATTCACTTAAAGGAGTTTCCTTGTGTGCTTGTGGCTTAGGAACAGCATCCCAGATCTGCAGTTAAAGAAAGAGGGGAAGTATGAAAACAGTGTTGTTTGAGTCAATAAATAATAATAAGGGAAAGCAACACCAACTTTTACCTTCTGAATATCTTCTCTTAGAACCGGTTCCAAATTCTCCAATGGTGTCTACAAATAATGAAGATCGAAAAACAATAAAGTATATGGCTAAAGTCACTTAATACAAGGACAAAAAGGTAAACTAAAAACGTAAGAACAACTGACATAAGAAAGACTTAAAATCTCTCCCCAGTCACAACATTAAGCTAAAGAGAAGAGAGGAACACACCCTTGTTTTATCACGTATAACAAACATCAAAGTTGTTTTACGTGGACTAAACAATCGCATCATAACCTGCAAGCAAACATAAACGTAAGTGGAACCATGGCTGCTTAAGAATTCCAGATTGACTGCTTATGAAAAAGGGATAATTATATAAATTTTGCGTCGGAACTTTACTGGTATTTCTATTTTAGCATCTCCAAAAAAAATTTTTCTTTTATCAATTATGTATTTGGACGAATAAGTTTTTTCACTTAAAGTGTATTTGGCCTGAATTTTTTACCAAAAACCTATAGTAGATAATTTTTTTAATAAAAATAATACTAGACATAAACATCCATATAATTTATTTCTATTTCTCAATGTTTTGATTTTTTACTGTTTTATATATCCTTTTTTCAAAAAGAAAATTCAAAATTTACCTACAATTTTTTCCTAATCCGAAACAAAATTAAAAAAATAAAATGTCACAGAATAAAATAAAGAGATAAAGGTGACAACATAGAAAAATAAATAGATTGAAAAAAATTGGATAAAATAGTCTATTTAGATATTCCTGACAAAAATTCTGCTCAAAAATGCACCTAACTGTAAATAATTTATCAATTCAAACATTTTATGATAAAAAATAAAATTGAGACGCTGAAATAGAAAAATAGACAAAGTTCAAATACTAAATTTCTAATCATCCCTTTGAAAAATTATTATACTTAGGGCACCTGGAATACAGTCTTCAAAAGAGGTTTATTTGCAGCTTGCTCACGGCCAATATCATGACACCACCTAAGAAACATTTCACAGCAAGATAGTGCATACAAATTATGAGAAATTATTTCATGAAATTCCAATAAATTTGAAGAACAAGTCTAAACAGATATCTTACATGTTAATCAATACTATGTCTGAAACAGCAAGGGCAAACAGGGCACTCTGTTTCTCAAATGCTGTGTCATCCTAAAATAAGAGGGGAAAACAGACAAGTGAGAGCAAACATCACGAGAGGGAAGGATGGTTTCACTTGTTAAAATTTCAATGTTAACAGCATAGAGCATTCTTTATTAATATAAATGAAAAGTCAAGGCTCCATCCAACTTGTTTCTCAGAGCCTTGACAAAAGGATTCTACATATGCTTAAATAAGGCAATCGCAACAACTTAATTATCTAAAGCCCACACAAGAAATTCTAAATCTCGAAAATTTCAAGCAGACAGTTGCAAATATTGCATCTGAACTGTTTGATACATCTCACCTAGCCATGATTCCTGCAACAATCATCTTGCGATGTGCAATATATATGAATTGCTTAAAATAAAATTATTTTTCACATCAAGCAGGGTGTAGAAGATGATAGAGAACTGAAAATGCTAGAGCAATGCATATTGGCAAAAATATATATCTATATAAAATTAAAAGAAGAAAAGAAAAACTAGAAAAAAAAAAGGTGCACCTCTCCTCGTTCTCTTCCATCAGTGCCTTCCAAGTCCATTACAAGAGTAGAAGGCTCAATTCCAGCACATTTAGCTATCCAAATACCTTTAGTGGTTTGGGACCTGAAAAGCATCATATCAGGATTCCAAAATCCTAAAAATTTTTTGTTTAAAAAAAATTGAAATCAATACAAGAATGTACCTTCCCTTAAAGGCATCCATCTCCCTAAAGTTGGTGCCAAATAAATTGTTTAATAAAGTGCTCTTCCCTGTTCAGTCCATAGAAAACAATATCTAACACTTTAGAATGTAGATTTATCAATAATAGAGTTGGGAGCATAAAACACGAAAGCTGAAATCAACTTAAGAAAAGAATAAAGTATGCTGTCCATATCAAATATGGAAGTGATGTTTTTTGCCATTGATGGAACCTATATCCAGGTGACTAAGTTTCAAATCAAAATTTGTTGCTGGCTAATTCATATTATTCTAACTAATAGTTGTGCAAATGATGTAAATTGCAAATGAGAACATGAAATCTCACCACCAGAGACACGGGAACTAGAGATTTAGAAGTTAATAGAGAACATGGAAATACATACCACTACTTTGTGGACCCATGATGGAGACTACAGCATAAGAAAGTCCACATTCCCCCAATTTCGAGTCCTTGATAAATTGATCTATTCCATCGGCATTAAATGTACCATCTCCATCAATTAACTGAGTAGAACAGCATTGCTCGCTTTTTGCTGAAAACCAAAAGTGTTACATATTGATTAGGAATACATTGTTCATGTTAGAAGACACTGTGGACATAAAAACCTTTAAAACAGATAATGAATTCACAGCAAAAGCGATCTCTGCATAAGTTTATTCAGAATTGAAAACCAAAAAAAGATATCTATATAAGCACTCCAGGATACGAATATTTAACCAACATCCACAAAAACCACTCAGCTCATGAGATTCATAACCATTACTTCCCTGGTTGTTGAGAAGAATAAACGCGAGAAGAAGAAAATGGAAAGATACCATAATTTGGAGTTAAATGGCGTTTTTAATTTCACTAGAGAATAATCGAATTCATATATTCCATTAAAATTAGCCCTGTATTCATCAAATCATAACAAACCTTTCCCTTTCCATTTATTTTTCAAGCTATCAAACAGGATTGAGAATTTTAACACGATCCCAATTCCAAAACCAAATACCAAATCAATTCTGTCCAATCTATCTATTTAAAACAAAATATTCATTTTTATAAGTAGCTTGAATTACTTAACAGGCCCGTTAAATTTCACCAATTTAACAACAAACAGAAACCGCAAAACAGTTATAATCCAGAACGCATGATCATAATGACTGCATAAATAAACGGGAATCAGACGCATAATTAAGGTTAAAACCGCTTCAATTTAACATTTAAACGCCAAGAGAGATTTATATACAGAATGAATCAGAGATATTGAAATTTAGAGATTACCCATTTGAATTGAATCGGAACTAGACAGACTGCGAGCTCAATACGACCTAAGAAATGTTAGGCAGTGAAGATCGATTGGTAAGAATAGAAGAAGAGAGAAACAGAGATCTCAAAAGAGGAATTTGTTAACCTTTTAGTGCTTTTCTTCTCCTTCTTTTTAATTTAAAGTTGAGGGCTTGACTGTCCATTGATTCCCATGATTTTTAAAAGAGCACAAAATGGGATTTTTTTTTTTTTTTTTTTTTGAGGGCTTGACTGTCCATTGATTCCCATGATTTTTAAAGAGCACAAAATGGGATTTTTTTTTTTTTTTTTTTTTTTAAGGGTTTTTTTTTTTTTTTTTTTTTTTAAAGAATTTGATTTGGAATTCGAGGTTTTTTTCTGGTAAAGAGATGGCTAAAGAAGGTAAACTCTTTTCTTTCCAAAGAAAAATTTGTGCTACTGTCATTTATTATTTAATGGTAAAAGCTACTTGATGTATCCTTGCAAGTAATGTCTATCTGATGTCAACAAAATAATAATAATAATAATAATAATAACAAATATTAATCATTGCAATTCTATTATACATCCATTTTCTTTCCTATAATTTTTTAAATAAATAAAGGATGATTCACGTATTCTTTTTTTATTATTATTATATAATATATAATAAAGTAATATTTAATTTAATCTAAATAGTGTTAATTTTTAAAAGTTAAAATTTTACTTTTAAATTTTGAATGGTATAAATGTTTAAAATTTTTTTAATTCATTATATTCATAAAAATATTACTTTTACTTATTCCTTTAATTGAATTTTGGAAATTAAAACTTTTTAAGTGGTGCATTATCAATTCTAAATGAAAATATTGCATTGCGAATAATTTTAATTGAAGAACTAAAACCGTTTCATTATTATCATTAAAGTGTTCGTTGTATTGGTGAACAATTTAAATTTCCGTAGCTCTATGGAAAATTTTCTTTTTTTTATCTTACTTATTTCATATATTTTTATCTTTTAAAGTTGTAATTCACCCAAATTATTACTAAAATACTTTTTTTTTTACTAAGTTATAGCTCATCTCACCTAATTACTTAAATATAAATTCTTTTTCATTAATCTGTCAATAAAACAATTGTTTATGTCTTATATGGTAATTTAATAAATAAAGGTAAAATTTCTAAAAGAAATAAAAAAACGAAGCAGAAAGTCATTAATTAAAATTTGGATTTACATATAATTAAATTTATGCCTCTCATAAAATGTCGACATATGAAAAAAAAAAAAAAAAACTTCAAAAGAAAAAATAGAACAAATTGGTAATAGCATTTTGCGATTGTTGAGGATTGAAAAATCCAAATTATCAAATGCAAATATCACGTGTACATGTCACCACTTTTACTACAGATTCTCGAGACATTAGTCTCACTAATGTCCACGACATCACATGATCTGTAAAATTAATTTTCCCGTAGTATCATTTTATAGTAATTAAAAAATTTCAACGTAACTTAAATATTTTTAGTCGTTAAATTTAAATAATTATATATCTATTTATACACTTATAAATCATCTTCGCCTCAATTTTATTAATTTTCAGTTTTTTTAATTAATCAGCAACTAAACCTGGAGGCTCACAATTCCTGGGACCCATTTGGAGGCCATGTCGGTTTTAGTGGCAAGTAATGACGTGCCATAAGATCACTGTTTTAATAATTGTAAAACTAAAAAAAAAGCAAAAAAGAGAAAAAAAAGGCCGAAATGGGACCTACGTTTATTTCTTCAAACCGACTATAGTGGGGTCACTTGGCCGCCCATAATATTGTTTTCAAGTTACTCGGGAAAGTGGACGGTGCGATCTGCTGTACCTTTATAGCGCGTGGATGAACGCTCCACTCATCTGCCATGGATGATGCTACTTTCGGTACAGCCATGCCAAGCTCATTTCTGACCAACATTCCTTTGTTTGCTAATATAATATTGTATTTTATTGTTTTACTATTATTATTATTATTATTATTAAAAACTACTTAATCAATATAAGTTAATATTCTTAATTCTTAATAAATATAATTAATTGTGGGAAATAAATATGTTTTAAGCTCGAATATAGTTTTAACTACTATTATAAATAATACCACGTAAAAGCTTGTATTTGGGTAAATATTATGTAATTAACGTGTTAATGATAATTATAAATATCTTAATTTTTACATGAAATCAATTTTCTACTTTGTGATGGCCTTTCTATTTTTCAAATGATGTAAAATTATTCCAACCAAATATCAAAATTTTATTTTCTTAAATCACTATCTTTCGATATTACAATCCTAAAATTTATTTTTATTATTCATATTCGGATGGAATAAGCTATTAAATTCGCTGTAATTGTATCACTCTTTATACCTTCCCACCTCATTCTCAAATCTCAAAATTTTCCCCTAACCCTAAGGCAGGTTGAGATAATTAAATTATTACAAAAAATAAAATAAGTAATTAAAGGCAATTAATAAAGAAGTGTCATTTTACTTATTTGGAAAGCTACGAAAAATGAACAAAGAAAAAGACAAATGTCATTTTTCTTTTACCTTGAAAAAATAAATTAGTGTCATTACTTTACTTTCAAAAAGGCATGTTCATTTTCTAATTTTTATAACTGGAACCATCGGATCGAAACCGGAAAAACTAGAACAAATTCGAATTGAAATCGGAACTAAAGGCTTATTGTCCGATTTTGGTTCAAAATTTTGAGGAACTGTAAACTGTTGATTCCAAAAACCAGCCGGAATCAGATGGAAATGGCGGTTTTTCCAACCGATTATAACAGTTCTATTGGTTCAAACTAACGATTTCAGCAATTTTTTTTTTTATTTTTTTCAAATTTGCTGTGAAATCTCCAAATTAATCATTTTAACAACTATATAACGGCTAGTTGTAAGGGTCTTTATAAAAAATTGAGTTTTTGAATTTACTATAAAATCCATTGTTTTTATTTATCATCGCACAAAATTATTTATCTCTGCTGCTCTCCACTCTCCAATCTTTCTAAGCTATTTCATTTATAAGTATCCAAATGATTGTCAAATAATTTCTCTAAAGCTAATGTCTAATTATTGTTCAAGCCTTTAAAAAAAAAATCAAGCTTTTTTTTAAAACTTTTTTCTTAAAGTTTTTGTTTAATTATTTCATAAATATTTAAAATTTAAAATTTCAACAAAAAAATGTTATCTAATTTTTTATTTTATAATTATGCAATTTGTCGAAAAATCGATCAGAGAACTGGTTGAAATCATCTAGTTTTGAACTGTTAATAAACTGCAATCATTCGGTTCCAAATCGTAATCGAAACCGTCAATTTTCGACTCTGTTCCAATTTTATATTTTCTGGAATCGGAACCATGGCCACCCTTACTTTCAAACATTTTTTCCAAATTGAAAGGAAACACTGTTTTCATTCGGTTTTAGTCGGTTTTCATATGCTTTTATTAGTTCAAACTGATTTTTTGGACTTTTGATTTTCTTATGCAATCCGAACCTGACTATAGTTTGGTTTTAGTTAAATTAATTGAACCAGCTGATCCGGTCCGATTAACAATGGGAAACAGAAAAAAAAACATTAGTTGTTATTGGTTTTGTTCATTGATTGCAAATTAATCTTTATTACCTATTAACAGTTCTTTTACAGCATAAAAAAAGTTTTTCTTTTTCCCGAAATTTTTCTTTCCCTTCATTTCCTTTCCTATCAAGCAACCAAAATCCCACCAACCATCATATCTCTTCCACCACTATCAGTCACAGAGCTCCCAATATTCCAAGTTCCAACGCCTTTTATCATTGGAAAATGGAACCCACTGCAAACCCGATGGTCCAGAGAACGGATTATAAAAAATTACTTTGTAAAATTGATCAGATGGGATTAGCAGTTGATGATTCAATGACTTTTCTTATTTGGAGAGGAAAAATTGAAATAATAATTAAATTGTTTTTTTATAAATAATTAAAATGTTTTATTTTTTTTTAAATTTTGATACCATGTAGTATAATATAATAATTGCAATATATTTATGGAATTAAAATACAATAACAATAATAAAATTGAATTATAATAAGTTTCGCTATCTAATGAATTAGCTTTAATGAAAGGGTTGACTATTTTGAGAGGTAATTAAATAGGGAACTGAATAATTACCCTTCGACTTGGTAATTAATTTTATTAGAGGTAACTCAAAATTCAAACGCTAATGTACCCTATGTTAAAAACTAAAATGCATTTTTGGCACGTAACAAAGCCCATTGATTGATCTTCCTCAGCGTACCCCTCGTTCGTACCCTTGACGTAGTCGTACAGCTAGAGTGGGCGGGAAAAGTAAAAGAAAGACGGGCGAAGAGAGAAACGGACGGGAATGAAGCATGAAGGATAAAGGAAAGAGATCGGTGGACGAGAGGTACGGGCAATGGAAGACACTGATCCCTGTCCTCTACGACTGGCTCGCTAATCACAATCTCGTTTGGCCCTCTCTCTCTTGCCGGTATCAGCTTAACACTCCCTCTTTCTGTTTTATTTCTCTAATTGATAGGGTTTTTAATTTTTTAGTTCTCTTCTGACTCGGTATAGTTGATTCAAGAAATAGTTTGTTATTATGAGCTCTAATTTGTTTTTTTGTTTTTTAATTTTTGCCAAATGCTTTTTCCCTTCCAAAATGGTTTGTAAAGATGCAGGTGAAATTGAAATTGACCTTGAAGTTTATTATCCTTGCATTTTATTTTGGATTTTACTCCATCCAGCATTTTATTATCAATTTCATGATTATTATATTCTGCTACTTTTTGCTAGATAGGTTAGTTCACTTGTAGTTGTATGATTTTTCCTTAGCCATTTTTCAGCTGCTGGGGAATTCTCGAAGGAGTTTCTATATTGAAAATAAATGAACTATGATTTTACTGTAATAGAGGGTGCAGAAATTGCATTTAGATTGAGCAAGCGCTTTATTTCTATGTTAAAATAAATCATTATCTTGTATCTGTTTCAGCAAGTGCTTCATGTCAATATGCTTTTTGTATCTTAATACTAAATTTGTCATATAAATTTATGCAATGTTGATGTATGATCAATCTTTCAACCTTCAAATGCATGTGGATTGATCCTCTATTTTGATCTCTTTTAACTAATAGATGGGGTCCTCAGCTGGAGCAGGCGACATACAAGAATCGCCAGCGTCTGTACCTTTCTGAACAGGCAAGATGACAACATCCGCCACAGATTCAGAGGATATGGATCTGCTCTCTGAACTTTATAGTTTATGCTTTTTTTTTTTCTCCGCGCAATAGTTTTTTCCTTATTAATACAGGCTTTAAACAATATCAATGGTTTGATTTGACATTCTTGTGAGGTAATAAATTTAGTTTATCTAGTTGAGAAATAGTGAACTTAGTCAAAAGTTATTTGAAAATGATGTCAGTTGTGAGGGGTTGGATTCATTAGTTCTTAGCTTGATAGGATCCTTTGTTTTCTTCCTGGTAATAGAAGGGAAAGTTATTAGTTTCTCAAAGCTGCCATGACCATATCATTTTTGTGTGATGTATAGTATCTTCCAATGTTTGATGTTGCTAAAATCACAATGCATGATGTTGTAGTATGTTGTGCATTGTAGTTTGCTGGATTTGTTTACTAATTTTCTTCTCTCATATCCAGACTGATGGCAGTGTCCCAAATACTCTTGTAATTGCAAACTGCGAGGTTGTTAAACCCAGGGTTGCTGCTGCGGAGCACATATCACAGGTAATATCATCATGAATAATTGTTGCCTTCTCCTTCGTTATTCACCGACCATGATATGATTAATTGTTGGATGCTTTGATTGCTTGATATGGCAGTTCAATGAAGAAGCACGCTCTCCCTTTGTAAGGAAGTATAAAACTATAATACATCCAGGCGAGGTACCTATTACTTCTTAATATTTTTATTTTTAACTTTTCTCTCTCCTCTGGGTGAACTTATTGGTTCTTGTAGAAGCCAAGCATTGTTGACTTAAACTTTTTGGTGGATCCTCTAATGTGGAAAATGGAAAGTGCTTGCAAATGTGCCTAGATGTCTAGGAAAATCAGGGATTACTGGCAGAAAGTTTCAAAATGAAAGAAAAACTGATAATTCACCTCGGTGCCGGTTGATAAGTGTATTTAACTGAGGTGAAAATGGCATATATTGGGTTGTTGAATGTGATAACAGCAATACTTGTTGCATAAAAATTTTTCATCCTATCGATTAAAATATTATGGAATATTTGTTTAAATTTTTTAAATTTTTTTAGAGATCTTTGATGCCTTTTACAAAGCACCTATTTGAAGGTGGCGTTCGCTTGCCCTGAAAGGGAAAGTAAAAAAATTGTATTGTTAGTTGGATGGCTCTGTCACTTTTATTTGTTTACTTTAGATCTTATTACTATTAGTTTCCACATGTTTCTTTTCACTTCTGCATATTGGCTTTCCTTTTTTTTTTTTTTTTTAAATTGCTGGAAGAATTATGTCCAAGATATTTAAGGTCTTCCACTGAATTCTTGCTGCTTTCATGTAAATGTTTAGGAAGATTAATTTCACTTTCTCAGACAGAACTCTGAAGCAAACTTTTCTCTCTCTCTAGCTTTCTCCAGCTACATTTTTGTCTTGCAATAAAATCTACTTTGCTAGTGATTTCCATCCATATTGGATGTTAATTGAGCTAAATGTCTCGTCAAACTTTGCTTTGTCATTCACAAATCGTCCTGCTTATGTAAATAAATGTTTAGGCATTTTGATGTGATTTTCACAGGTGAACAGAATCAGGGAACTGCCTCAAAACAGTAAGATAGTGGCTACGCACACTGACAGCCCTGATGTAAACATTTATTTTTCATTTAGTATTAGTTATGTGTTTTCTCTTGGTTTTAATTTTGAATTAATGGAGTTCAATTTGAATTAAATTATTAAATTTTCAAAATAGGTTCTCATTTGGGATGTTGAGTCTCAACCCAATCGCCAAGCTGTCCTGGGAGCCACAGCGTCTCATCCAGATTTGGTCTGTCCTATGGCAATTGGTTTTTCTTTTCTTGATTCAATATTGAATTTGATTTTGAATTTCTTAATTTTTATATTTCTATTATAACTTAAAATTATACGTGAATTTTTTTCTACATAGATCTGTAACAGCATGTTTTGCTGGAATTCTATTATATTTCCAATGTAATTATAATTGTACTAGTAACTTTTGGCTGGTAAGAATGCATTGAGTTATTAATTGAGAGATTTAAGGAATCAATTCCTAAGCACATGAAGAACTTTGTTATTTTCTTTTATAAGCAGTCCGCTTGTTGACTTGGTTAAATCGTCTTTCAGGTATTGACTGGGCATAAAGATAATGCTGAATTTGCTCTTGCTATGTGCCCAACTGAGCCCTTTGTGCTCTCTGGAGGTTGGCTGCGATTTTAATCATTTCTTTGTAGATTCACAGAACCCTCTTGCATAAATTAATTATTGTTTGAGCAATAAACTTATATTTGAGACTTAATGAGCAACGTTTGGTTATGCAAAGTTATTATTCTTACCCTATGGTATTTTAGCATGCTGAGAATGGATTTTCACATGACTGCCTGGAGCATTTTCCACCTTTAGAAATGGTGCATGATTATGGTGCGCCTAACTGGGCAGTTTATCCTTTATATATAATTAATTATTATTTTTTAACGGGCAGGTAATCCTGTAGAAACTATATAGACATATTCTGTTGATGTTGGATTTTCTTATCTTCACCTCTTATGTACATTGCTTGACATCTGAACTGCTTTTTCTGTCAGGTTTTACAAATGTTCTCACAGTTCTTTCTGAATTTGGAATTACAATGGCAGGTAAAGACAAATTAGTGGTGTTCTGGAGTATTCAAGATCATATCTCAACCTTGGCTACTGACCCAGTGTCTACAAAGTCTCCTGGTTCTGGTAGCTCTAATTCAAAACATGCCTCTAGGACTGGTGGGAGTAATGATAAATCTACTGAGAGGCCTTCTATTGGGCCTCGAGGTATCTACAAAGGGCATGGTGATACTGTTGAAGATGTTCAATTCTGCCCGTCAAGGTATCTTTGGAAGTCATAATCAAATGCATTACATAGTATTTGGCCAAATAATTATGCCTTCATGAATGCCTAGTCTGTTTGTGGCATATTATCTGTTGATAGCTTGCAGTTTTCATAGAAGCATAGGGCTTTCTCTCACTTTAATATTATTTGATGGAAGTGTTATCCTGAAGTCTCCTTTGAACTTCTCTATCATTTGATTTTTTTCTCATGTTTTTGTTTTCAATGTGAAGTGCACAGGAGTTCTGCAGTGTAGGAGATGATTCTTGCCTTATACTGTGGGATGCAAGAACTGGTTCTAGTCCAGTTGTCAAGGTTGCATTCCTTCTCTTCATGCTTATTGGTTGTCACTGCACCTTTTTTTCTCTCCTCTATTATTTCCTTCCTAATGGAGTCTAAAATGTATACAATCCATGTATGGACTCCTATTAGAGAAGCAGCAAACATGGAATTGAACCTGGACAAAAATATGCTGTGTTTTTGCTGGTTATTTTTGTGTTGCCATTTTGACAATTGCAGCTACTTTTCTGTTGATCATATATATTAAAAAGCTGAATATCCGCCTTCTTGTGGTCTTCTGTTTGGCCTTGATTGGAATCTTTATTTATTTATTTATTTTTTGGTTGTGGCAGGTTGAGAAAGCTCATAATGCTGATCTTCATTGTGTTGATTGGAATCCTCATAATGTAAATCTGATTCTCACAGGGTAGTTATATTTCATATCCTTTGTTCTACATGTATTCTTTCAATCATGGAAGTGACAATCTAGAATTTCTGCATTGATATTTATTATCATGAGCAACAATGTCGTTTGGCTTGATTGTTGTGCTATTAATTTTCTGTTTCAATTGTACTTTTTTTCCAGCTTCATACTGATGTGAATTTAAGATTATTATGCAACTCATTGTGTGCCTTTAAATGATGTTGGCTTTACTTCAGCTCTGCTGATAATTCTGTTCACATGTTTGATCGCCGGAACCTCACTTCTGGTGGGTTTGGATCACCTATTCATAAGTTTCAGGGTCACAGTGCTGCTGTCCTTTGTGTTCAGGTCTCAAATTATGTTGGTTTATGCTTAAATTGTTTATTATTATCCATGTCTTCACAATTAGGAATCACTCACTTTTTCTGTTACTTCAACAAAATTCGTTTCAGTGGTCTCCAGACAAGTCATCAGTCTTTGGAAGTTCTGCAGAGGATGGCATTCTAAATATATGGGATTATGAGAAGGTGCTGTTTTGTACAATTTTCTTCTTGACAGCTTTTTCTCTCCCTCTTTCTCTTGTTCTGTCTCATGTTCAATCCGTACAAAAGCAATAGTAGAAAGAACAAAATGAAAGCCTAAAACCACTCTGAGGGAAGCCCATGCAAAATAAAATACCAAGACAATGTGCATTCCTGTATCGCATAATGGGTCACAATGGAACATTACAAGGTGGGCTCTTGGCGAATTTAGAGTGTGAGAAAGTATTGAAACTCCAAGACATGTCATACAAATAGACAAATAGGGTTGGCATGGACATGATTCACTTAATGTTCTAACAGAGTGAGACGGCAATTAGCTATAGGTCCAGTACTCTAGTGGTCAAATGCATACTTCATAATGCAGCTGAACAGTGATTTCAAATTATCCTTCTCTGTTCTTCTACTTTGAACCTCAAATGATGAAACTCTTCTTAGCACCAACACTCTACTAGTTCCTTGAGGTTAAGGAGGATGCTTGGGAATATTGCCGTTTCATTTTCTGGAATTAACCATTAAGGGGTTGTTCCTGTCATTATTAACGAACAAGTATAAGAAGGGGCTCATTTTCTTATTCCTTTTCAAAATCCTTTCTACTTTGCCCCCAGGCCAGTAGAGGTTTGAACAATGGGGTCCTCTAAAAGTTAGTATCAGGAATTTGACTAAAGTTGATATTAGAAATTGCATTTTATTGTTCCAAATTTTTATTTGACATTTTTCATTTTTCTGATCTTGCATACTATTTGATAATTTATTGTCTTTCAGGTTGGTAAAAAGCAAGATTCTGTTGGGTTGAAATTGCCAAATGCTCCTCCAGGATTATTTTTCCGGCATGCTGGGCATAGGTAAAAAGTTTATATGCATGCCTATAGATGCTTTTTATTTTTACATTTGTTTGAGCAATTTTGCTCAAATGTCAGTCTGCAGATGTTCAATACCAGTTATCTGAGCCTATAGTGTTGAGGCCAATAATTGATAGTTTGTATATGGTTGTTTGCTTCAATGAGATTTTAGTATGGTGACATTTTTTATATATGCATATAGGGATAAGGTTGTTGACTTCCATTGGAATGCCTCTGATCCCTGGACAATTGTCAGTGTTTCTGATGATTGTGAAAGCACTTCAGGAGGTGGTACTCTTCAGGTGAGAAGGCATTTCTTGATTGATTTTTCCATTCTGTCCTTTGATCTTGGCTCTTAAAGCTGTTTTTCTTTCTTCATTATGCGATTAGAGAAAATCATTCTATGAAACAGCGCTTTATGTTTGACAAGACAAAATGGAATGTAATAAATCGGATGTATTATTCACCAAAACTTTGCCTAATTTTGGTGCAGATATGGAGGATGATTGATTTTGTTTACAGGGATGAAGAGGAGGTCCTTGAAGAATTAGACAATTTTAGATCTCACATTCTTAAATGTGATGATGAAAGTTAGGAACTTATTTTGTAGTATTTTTCTTCAATTTCGCCCATCTTTCTTTACTGTTTATTTCAGTTTTCCTTAAATTTCTATTTTAGAAAGTGGATCTATTTTCTGTAAATACCATGTGAACCCATTAGAAACCAGAATGTAGCTTTAATCCTTACTGGAGTGGCAAGAGAAGCAGCAAAAGCTAAGTATTCGATCCGATACTAACACTGATCTCAGCTGCAAAAGCAACGCCATTCGCGTTCACCTATAATTTATGGCATACTAATTTTAAAAAGTTGAAAGGAGATGGGGATTTTGCACATCGGATATATATAAATATGATCAATTCGGGTCAAGATTACACTTTATCCTTAACTATCTAAAACGTGCTATTTGTTTACAGATATATGGTTTTCTCTATAACTGGTTTTCCAACTAATTAATAAAAAATAAATCAAGTGTTGACTTGAAGCTTACACAGGGTGAGGAGTATTTGAATTTGAAATGAAACCTTATAAATTACTAATTAGCTATACAAGATATGAGAAAATTAACCAATAATGTTTGATTTGGCTCTAATTAAATTTATAAACCAGAAAATCATATCAATCATCTCATCACATTATCAATGGCCACAAATCAGCTGTGACATAAGATAACACACAGTTCTGTCATCTTTATCTCCAAGGCCAAATCTCTCTCTCTCTCTCTCTCTGCGTAACGTGGGATATAGCAGAACCTTCAAATTCAATCTTCAAAGCAGGAGCGCACTAGCAGTCACTTCATATACTTTCATAACCCAAATAATCTCTCTGGATGCGTACACACTTGTCTACATGAACAAGCATTTCAATGGCGGCTGTTATAGCTTTAAGTTTTTCACATATATCTAATCTTATTTCTCATAAATTTCAATTTCTTTCACACTATCTCCTAAACCAAAACAAACCCATGTTTTCTCATTTCTTCTTCTTCTTCCTTTTCTTCTTCGCCTTCTCTATCTCTTTCTTTGTCTCTCTCTTTTTTCTGTATAAAACCCTCAATAGGACAAAGCGAGAAGAGAAACAGACCCATCATGTTATAAACCATTCTCTATCGAAGATAATCGATGAAACTCGCAATACCCGAGAAAATGACCCCACCCACTTATCCCATTCCCTCCTTCTCGATATCTTGCCGTCCAATTCTCCCAAATGGGTCACTCTGTTTAGCAATTACTCGAATGAAACGAGCTCGGGTCTTCGCGATGAGGGAGACAGCTCAGTTGGGGATTCTCAAAGAGTGAAAAAGAAGAAGAAGAGGGCAAAGAAGAAAAGATTGGATTTGAAGAGTGAAGAAAATGAGGGTGAAGATAAGGGCTTTGAGAGAGAAGCTGAAGATTCCGGTTCTATTTCGGGTCAAGTCAAGCCCGACTTAGTTTGTCTATACCCATTTACCTCAACGAGTAGTGCTACACAGAGGAAGATCAAGCAGCAGTATGATCAGCTTGTTAAGTGCAATGAAACTAAGGGATTGACGCTAGCGCAGGTTTTTCATTTTTCACTTCATTTGAAAAAAGGACTTTTTTTTTTTTTGAGCTAACTGACGCTTGAGAGTTGTTACTTTGGGTAATTGTTATTTATGCTTTCAATTTGCGTTTTGTTATAGACTGGGTAATGAAGTTAAATTTTTAAGATTATTGTCGTTAGTAGAACATTTGCATACAATTCAAAATTTTCTCCTCTGTTTATGAATGACTTATTTATTGTTAGAATATCCCAAATCGGTATGTGTTAGGTGTAATCACCCAAGTGGGTAGTTCTTATTTCAGTAACGATTAAATCTTATTATAAGCTTAAATTCAATTTCTATCCTCTGTTCCATTTATTTCTTGTGCTACCTCCTTCCTTCTTAATTCGAATTAAATATTTATTATTTATTATTTGTCTTTTGGTTAAAAAAAATCTGTAATTTTGGCCTAATTTTCTTTTTTTTCACTGAGGAAAGTGAAGTCTCTGATTAGTACGCATGACCTGTACATGCATGATTATTTGATCAAGTTATTGAGTAAACAAATAAATATAGATTGTCAAATTAGGTAAAGTGCAGAAGAAGAAAGTGAAGACCAAATTTGAATCTTATGATTTGACCTTGTAAATCACGAGTCTTTTTCATGAAAATTGTTGAGATGATCTTTCAAACCATATAAAAAAATGGAACATACCATTTTCAATTGCATCTCGTGTTGCACGATGATAAAAATAAATCTTTAAGTGCCAATCATCAAGTGAGGAAGTTTACAAGCGCAGTGATTTGTGTAAGCAAGTTAGGGCTTTAGGGATCAAAAGTAGAACAATTTTGCTTGCTATGGGAGATTAACGTGGAAGCATAGGAAACATTATTGAAGTTCATCTTAGTTGTAATAGGACTCGTAGTTACTGCAGATAATAGTCTAAAGAGTTGCTCTTGATTGGTGATGGGATTTTAAACCAGTTATGGCTTATGCACTAGTTGGCAACTGAGGCAATAACCACGCAAGTAGTAGTTGATTGGTGGTGATATTTGATTACCAACACTGGAGGAAGAGGTGGTATTTTTTTAATGGTTATCTTCTTTGCCTCTGGGATAATTAATACTGTACAACTGTAATATGTCGGTCTGCAGCATACTGTTCAAATTCTTTGGAAATTATTGTTCTTCTTTCTAGAGAAATCGGCTACTTAAACCATCATTCTTGTGCCTGAAAGTAAGGCCATGATAGCATTGCTTTTTGTGCAAGGTTGCTGCTGAAACTACAAGATAATTATTCTTCAGTGCCCTATCATCATCAATTTTTCCCCTACCTTTCTGTGATGTGGTATTTTCCAGTGAGCCTCATCAAGTATTTGAGCTTTAGTGGAGATGAGCTTCTTATAATTGAAGTTCCTTTAAGCCAAATCTTGTTACTGCTGTGAAATCCTCATGGAAGACATGGAATTTGGAAAAAGGGAGGTTACTTGTTGGTAGATGCTTAAGCATGCTGCTAGTCTCTTTTATTGAAGTTCTCATTCAGTTGATAGATCAGATTCATGGATATTTAAATTGGGGTTCATGGTTTACATCATAAAAATGATAGTATTTGATTAGAATGATTTAAATAAAAGCTTGAATATGGAATCAACTGAAGCTTGATATTTCTTTGTTTTCTCTTGTGATGCAGGTTGGTGAATTTGCTAATTGCTTGATTGAAGCTAGAAATGAGTTGCAACACAAGTATGTTACAGTATTATCAATTATTCTCTGGAAGCCAAATTTGAGCTCTCTTATTTTTTTCTTGTTTAATTCTTATTGTTTTATCTCTTCTTATGCTAGCCAGTTAGCTTTATATGCATATTTCATATACTTTTGTCTAGGTCTGAGGTCATCAAACGCAAGTTTACAATCACAAAGGTTCTACTGTTAAAGGCACACAGGTCTTCAATTGATCGCCTTCGTCAACAGGTGACTGCTTACTAATTTTATTCTATCTGGCTTGTGTAACAAAGCAGATAATGTGTACATTCAGTTGCCACTAATTTGCGTTTGGTGACTTCTTTTCTCCAGATATACAAGCTGGAGCTAGAACAGAAAAGATTAGAAGAGGATACCTTTGTTTATAATTGGCTTCAGCAACAACTTAAACTCTCACCTGCATACAAAAAGGTAAAACTGAAACCGTTATTTTAATGAAGCCAGCCGATCAATTTCTGATTGTGATGACTAAGAGTAAAAATGAACATACTTAAAATTTGGCTCTGCTATTTTTCTGTGGTTGTTGAAAATGCCTCCACACCAAATTAAATGTGACATATCAGGGAGCAGACAGGTGCTGCCATATTGTTCCACTTCATAAAAGGGTCACTCTTAACATTTTTAATATAAGAAAAGAAAAATTGTCTTTTAGTGAATTAAAAATTACTCTCAAGATTAATGTGGTGCCTTTTGATTTCTGATGGGTTGACAATTTGCAGACAACAGCTTGGCATTATTCATCTTTTTCTTTGCATATATTAGATATTATAGGAAAAGAGAAAAACATCTTCTATTTAATTTTTCCCATTTTTTTGTTCTACTAAGTACTTAAGTTGTCCTTCCTCATATTTGGTACATTTATGGGGAGAATTTTTTTTTTTCTTTTTTGTGGAAACCTCCTTGTATTAGTCTTTTCATTGCTGAGCGGCAACTATCTATTTCTTCAACTGCTCTCATGGAAAAAGCAAGAAAATATCTTTCTCTTGTTGCATTTAAATCAATGGAAAGTGTTCTTTTTTCATACTACAGCAGCTCTAACAATTCTGACCTTGTCTATATAGATGCTTGAAATAAGTGCTTGCATGGAGTTGAAGGCTAAGTCTGGTGAGCTGATTGAGAGCGATGATGCTGAAGTTTCAGATATTTCCTTTGAAGAGCTATTGGCACAAGAAAAGAAGGATGCATTTTGGTTGGTTGCTAACTGATCTTATCAAATGCATGCTCTTAACTTAGAAGTTTGTTTCAGCGCTGCCTATTGCTAACTTTATTTTATATAATCTTGTGCAGGCAGAAAAATGGGAAGTCAAGGTTATGCTCAAGCTGATGATAATGGTGTTTTGTTAGCTGTACTGGAGGATGGACTTATTTTTATTTTGACAGTATGTATATCTGACACCCAATCGTCGCAGGAATTTTTTTTACTGCCTGTGCAATCTTGGGTCTCCTTGTTGAAGGGAATTGAGGTCATTGTGTATTGGATCTCCTCTTTTTCCCTAGGCTTTTTTTTAGAAGCTAGTTAATCCATAATATGATTGATCTGGATGAGTTTAGTGCATGTTCATTCTTGGTAGGATGCAGTTGAACAAAATGGACTGGGAAATAAAAAATTCAATAGAACATGAAATTTAAAATCTATATTTATCAAATTACATTTTTTCTTCGGTTTGATCTACCATGCAGTAGAGCTGCCTGTCACTGAACCACTAATAGTCTAGTATGCCTGTTTGAGTATACCCTGCTTTTAATCTTTCATTGGTTATTGGTTGTGGAATCATAGTGCAAAGATGTTTATTAGTTGCCCAAATCACTAAATTAAGGATCGCGTGTAATGTTATGGTTTATAAGGATTTATTGAACCTTTCCTCAGCCTAGGATTCAGAGTCGCTGTTCTAAGCCCTACCCCACCACCGGATCAAGGGAATGATTTTTCGTGTGAAGGTTATTGGCAAATTCGATTTCAGGGTTCAAGATCTATCCATTAACGAAATATTTGCATCAACAAAATTTACCAATTATCTTTTGAGGTACCGTCTTTTCAGGTAGAGTAACATAAACTTGCCCCTTATCCAGAATTTTCCCATTTGCAAGTTCTGTTTTGAAATAGAAATAAAGCGACAAGGCACTTCATCTAATGGTAAATGCTTATAAAATACAACAAATAATAATAACAGAAAGATCATTCATCCGAGGATGTGTTACTAAGAAAAACAAAATAATAAAAGAAAAGAAAGGAAGAAAGAAATCAAGCAACAGAAGCAGTGTTTAGGGAATCATAATCTTATGATTTGAGTAAAAGACAGTCGATACACCGTGTGGAGAGATCTAGATCACTGCTTAATGCACAGAAACTAGTGAGAACAATTTATATTAATTTTCACATATGCATAAACAAAACATGCCCAGTCCTAATCTCTAATCAGCACAAGAAAAGCTTTCACCGGGACCAAGAACCATAATTTCCATCTCATAAACTGCACCCGGCAAAAGCATTGAGAAAAGCTAAACAAACCCCAAGAGTTGCTTTAATCCTCATCTGCTTTTGGATCATCAGGTCAGTCAATTTTGACAGATGAGTAGATCTTTCGCACAAACCAGAAGCAAGCATAGAAGCCGATTGTTCCAGTCAAGACAAAGAAAGCATAAGATATGATTATCATATACCCAAAATACAGGATGCCCGAAACCAATTTTGTGATTTCCAATTTGGTGAAGAAGTAGAAAACCGAGTAGAGGAAAAGGTACAGAGCAGAAGAGCCGGCAGTCAGGTAAGATCTCCACCACCAGTGATAGTCCTCACTACATAACTGGAAGTAGCAGAGCACAATTGTTATCTCTGCACAAGTGATTAAAAGAATAACGAACACTATGAAGAGGAAGCCAAAGATGTAGTAGAACTGATTCAGCCATATTGATGTCAAGATGAAGAAGAGCTCGATAAAAACTGCACCAAATGGAAGAATGCCTCCAATGAGTATGGAGAAGACTGGCTTCATGTACCAAGCTTGCTCTGGTATTTGCCTAGGAATTTTGTTTGTTTTCACAGGGTCTTCGATAGCTGGCTTTTTGAAACCTAGGTAACTGCCCACGAAGACCAAGGGAACAGAGATACCAAACCACAAGCAAACTAGAGCAAACATGGTTCCAAAAGGCACTGCCCCTGAAGACTGCTCACCCCAAATTAGGGCATTCAGCACAAAAAAGATTGCAAAAAGAATACCAGGGAACATAAATGCAGTTTTTAGGGTGTTTCTCTTCCACTCTGTGCCCTTAAACATTTTGTACAAACGTGCTGACGAGTAACCAGCCAATATGCCCATGAAGACCCACAACAGAACCATCGCAGTCATAAGGCCACCTCTGTTGGAAGGGGACAAGAAACCCAGCAATGCAAATATCATTGTCACCAGTGTCATTCCAAATATTTGTACACCTGTACCGACATAAACACACAGTAAACCAGAATTGATAGGTGCCCTAAACACATCTCCATGGACAAGTTTCCACCCTGTTTCTTCTTGGGCCTCATCTTGAGTCTCCAATTGATTGTAGTTTGCAATATCCCTATACAAAGTTCTCATCATGATCATGGCGACCATGCCAGAAAGGAAGAGAACAATCATCAGTGAGTTTATGATGGAGAACCAATGGATCTGATCATCATTCATGAGTAGGTAGGTGTCCCAACGAGACGCCCATTTAATCTCACTTTCCTACAAAAAAACTTCAGAAGTGAAAAATCTGTACAGCAAAAATGAGACAGGCTCACAAGAGAGAGAGAGAGAGAGAGAGAGAGAGAGAGAGAGACGGAAAACAGATTAGGGAAAAAGAAGCAAAGTGAGACAGGCTCCATACAAGAGAGAGGAGAGAAGAGAGAAGATAGAGAAGAGAGAGAGAGAGAGAGAGAGAGAGAGAGAGAGAGACGGAAAACAGATTAGGGAAAAAGAAGCAAAGACATAATAAGAGAGTACCTTGAAGGTAACATCATATGTGAACACAATTGCCTTGCCTGAGTCAACTTCTTGTGGAACAGTGCTACCTTGAATCAATTTTTTGGTATCCTTGTTGCATGTTGTCACTTGAGGATTATTATCATCCCATTCCTTGTACTCATGATTGATGCTGTTTACAAGAATCAATTAAAATTAACAGGAAATAAATAAGTTAAAACTATTTCAACACCCACATAGAGCAAACACAACATGCAAGAAGAGTTGAATTGCATAGTGAATGCATTGTGCAATAGGCTTAGAGAAACATTAAGAAAATTTCAACAGGATATTCAATAAAATACACAAAAGGTAAGGTAGCAAGCATACAACAAGGAGACAAGCTAGCTGAATGTGTCTTTGGCATAAAAGTGCACTGCAATCTATAAAAACTCAGTGCCACACATTTAAGTCAAATACTATTGCAAATTCAGTAAAAGTAATAAGTTGAAGCACCAATCATATACATTTCAGGTACTTAAATGTTCTTTTTTAATGTTCCTTTGCTCTAATGTCATTGCTACTTCCAGAATTTCGAAGCAGACAATAAAGTACACTCATTCATATCCACCACTTTCACAAGGCAGATCAACCCAATAAAATCTGAAAAGTGAAATAAAACAGAACAAGATGCTACCACACCTGTTTGGAATAACCTCAAATCCAACGATTCGAGCAGAGCCTGACTCAGGATCCTTGTGATACATAACTCTAAAGCTAAGGTGGTTATTGATAAAGTATTTCTCCTCTTTACTCTGTAAAAAAAAAAAAAAAAAAAAAAAAAAAAAAAAAAAAAAAAAAAAAAAAAAAAAAAAAAAAAAAATCAGAACAAAAAAGTAAAACAGAAGCACTTCAATGCTATATAGTGCTTCATAAACATATAAAAAAAAAAAAAAAAAAAAAAAAAAAAAAAAAAAAAATCAGAACAAAAAGTAAAACAGAAGCCTTCAATGCTATATAGTGCTTTCATAAACATACTCCAGCATAATTTCCTTTGAACCCAACACGGAAACCATGTTCGTAAGTTGTTGACTGACTGCCACCCCTCCTTTGACTAAGTACAGCAACTGGAAGGTTATCTAGAATCCTGCAAATCCATTTCCCAGCTATCAATATAAACAAGAAACAATTTGAAGTGAAAATGAACATGCAACAGATGAGTGCAAAATTAGCATACTGTATAAACATGAAACAGATAATATTGCAAATCAAAAAGCAACAGATGGGTGAAGTTTAAGAGGGAAAAAAGTGAAATGCAACCATGCAATCAGAACTCAAAATAACAAAAACAGAACATGTTAAGCACATCTTCAACTTACATGTTAACTCGATACTCATCATCAATCTTTTCTTTAAAATTCTTAGCAGACTCAGCATCAAGTATCATTCGACAAGCCACTTTGCACGGCTGCTCTTCCATCATTTCAAACTGGAGCAGGATCCAGATCCAAAGGTAACAATCAACAAATTCATCCCCAGTTCAGTTTCGTATTCAAGTACCAATAAATTGAAAGAGAAAGGATGGTAGATGCTTACATTGTATACAGAGTTCTCGATGCGGTCACCTCGAAGAACCTCCCCCAAATTTTCAGCACTGTTCACAATTTTATCAGGCTTACAATATTTTAAGTAGTAGTAGTCATAAGGAAGTTGTGTCTTTGTAGATGACAATTTGTTCACTTTGACAGAAAGGAAGTCACCCTATTTATAGGGAAAAAAAAAAATAAAGAAAAGAACTTAGATGGTGCACTTAATAACAAGAGGAAAGTAACAGCCAAATGAAAGATAAAATAAATAAGAACCTCACATCCCTCCCACCACCGCATATCCCCACAAGGTAAAGAAGATAGTTCTACTTGAAGTGGACAAAAAAGTTGCCACTAAATATTAAGGTACTCCAAATGAAAGAACTCACCTGTTTCATCATATATCCCAATTCAAGTGCAACTATCTCACTTACCATAAGACCATCTAATTTATTGCACTTTTTGGAAGCAAAACTCAAACTTCGTACCAGAATTTTACATCCACAAACACATGTTTGAATGTGGAAAACCACAGTATTACCAATTAAAGAAAACTTAGAGCCTTTTCAATAGCAGTCAATATCCATTCTTGTTTTTACATGCTTCGCATCACTTTCTTATACAGACAATATAATATCCTCTTAAAGTGCATTATACATCTCCCATTGTTAAGTCTAAAATACACAACTAACATATCACTCAATCAATCAAAAACACTAAAAGAACCAAGAGAACTACTATAATCTCAATGTTTAATCACAAGCTCAATTTTAAATATCAACAAGTAGTCAAAGCAACAAAACCACGGATCCAAAGCAAGTGTAAAGCTAAGTAACAGATCTACAAGAATACAATCAGCAATACAAAGGATCAAACCCCAAAACCCTAGATCCAACTCTACTTTAACCAAACCCGTCAGCTTAAAAAATAACACAAGGAGTAAACCCAATAAATTGAAAAAAAGCCAAAGAAAATAAAAACGAAAACAAAAAAGCGGAAAAAGATAAAACAGAAGTAGGTAGGTGATAATACTCTATGAAAGTCACGTGGAGCCACGCCAGGAAGATAGAAGGAGCATGCAGAGGAGATTAGAAGGAAAGCGAAGAAGAGAGTCGCAGAGATTCTCCCCATCTTCGTCTGCTTGATTCTACGGAGGGAGAAATGTTGAGAGATGAGGAGAGTTGAGAGAGGTTTTCAAGTATAGAGGTGTTAGTTTTGACTGTTGCCAGGATTTCTTGCCTCCTCTTTCCGCCGCTTCCGGAATCCCAATTAATCAGCGTTTTTTTTTTTTCACCTAACGCATAAATTTACGGCAGAAACTCACGAGATTTGCTTATTTACGCTATTTTTCTTACGGAAAACTTATATAAATATTTTTATATTTATGTAATAATTATATTTTTTTTCAAAATAAAATATAAAAATGCAGAGTTGCGATTAAACTCTTGCAATTTATCTCATTTTAATAAAGGACATAGGATATAGTTATTCCTTGGACACTTTGGAGTACCACAGGACAAATCATATAAACTTAAATAGCAAATCTATACATTTAGTAATTAATTATTTGGTTTATTTTTTTAATACAAATTTGAGTTGATGAATTTTGTTTGATTATATTTGATAAATATAGTAATTTTATATCTTTTCACGTTTTCATTGATTTCCAATGTGATTTATTCGTTCCATCCCATGCATCTAAATTTTCATATTCAACTTTTATCTTGACCTGACCATATCCATACACTCTCTTCATTAAATTTGAAAAAGATTGAATCACCCTTAAAAATTTTGAATGAATACTTCCTTTTTTGCTAAAAATTAATGTCAAATAAATCCAATTAGAAAAAAAAAATTTGTATGAGATTCAATAAAAAAACAACTATTGTCCTAAAATTCAAAAACCATAAAAAAAACTACTTCAAAATTAGGATAATGGTCTGTTTTCTTTAAAAAGCATAAATTTATAATGAAGAAACTTATAAATCTCAGGCAAAGTATATAAAATGCCTTCATATTGAAAACTTATAATCTCAGGCAAAGTATATAGAAATGGCCTTCATATATAATATATATATATATATTATAATATATAATAATAATGTATACATATATATATATATAATAATATATATTTAAAACATAACAACAAAGTAATGGATTTTGCCAAACTAATCAACCAAAATAGTAATCTCTAGTAAAAAAAAATGTAATTTATCCTATTTTTTTGAAAAAAGAAAGTTCCATTACTTTTTTATAAGCCTTGGATGTCTGGTTACTATTCCTTCCTTTTTGACTTTTTTATAAAAATAAAAAAAAATTACATTCTCTCAATTTAAAAAAAAAAAGGTAAATTGACTTACTGTCTAATTGATGCTCATTTAATTTAAATGAAGTTTAATGTAAATATATAGCCAAAAGTAAAGTTAAAATAAAATAATTAATATTGTTTTAATTTTCTAAATATGTTATCGAAATGCAAAAAAAAAAAAAAAAAAAAAGAAGATCAAAACCTATTAAATTTAAAATAATCAAAGCCCCCGCCGCCCCGGCCGGCCCCAAGAGGTAATTCCTTAAGATTGAAAAAAAAAAAAAAAAAGTCAAAAACTATTAAATTTAAAATAATCAAACCAAGAGAGTATTCCTTAGATTGAATATATGAAATACTAGAATTAAGACTTGTATAAGCTGGTGTATGAGCTACCTATATCATAAGCTAATTTATAAAGAATTTTTTAAATATTATTACTATTTTATTTTTTTTTAATAAATTGTCAGAAATATCTTTATTATGATAAAAGATCCATTGATTTAGTGTATGGGGTGGTATACCGGATGCACGATACTTACTCGCAGTCTTAACATAATACGACAACGACAACTCCCTTATTTATTATCACTTGCCAATAGAATCAATAGTATAATCCTAGAAATTTTCCAATTGCGCGATGACAGATCCTGGAGCAGAACCCGCCGCTTGAAACGTTTCCGATCAGTTGTAGAAACCGTATGCTAGTTTAAGATATATATAGTTTTATATCGTGTAGCATGGAAACTGTATGCTTACCCTTCGATTTATTTATTGCCGCTTTCGGATAGAAGTAGAATAATTCTTTTCTTCATCTTCTTAGGAAAAAGGAAAAAAGATCATCCTAAAGTCGCACCAATGGCAAAATCCTCAGAGGGAGCGGGTGGCTTGAAACATCTCCTATCAGATACGGAATCTGTTCAGACTGAAAAGAGATATCTTTCGCACACGCATGACAAGTACGTATTGATCTCTGTTGTTTTCGATGACAACCTATGGAAGAGCTTTTGGTTCAGGGCACATCTTTCACATCAGAAAGATGTGTCTTTAAAGGAGCTTCGAAATTCTCTTAGCGATGGTATACTTCTGCAGCCCATTAAAACACTTGATTATGCAAGAGAGTCTGGAACTGCATTGACCGGCTCTACTGTTTATATAATTGGGGGCCAAACCGATTTCAATCCAGTCGAAGTAATATATGCGTCTGATCCAGATTCCCCAGATTCTGATGAAGACGAGGGTTTTATAGCTTTCACAGATAGATGGGAAAAACTTATAGAAGCGCGGGAAGCCTCAATAAAAGGAAGTGATTTTATGCACAAAAAAGTTGAGGCTTTCGATGCAATGACCGGCGACCCTTCCATCATTCCTAACATGAACAGAGAAAGAAAATCCTGTGCTGCTGTCTCTTTTAGAGGAAAGATTTATGCATTTGGCGGAATACATCCAGGTCCGTTAGCCCCTTCACAACAACTTGATGTAAGATATTGGGGCGAGGTATATGATCCAGATACTTTTGGATGGAAATTTATCAGTGCCCCACCCTCAGATTTGCTAACTGATGGTCCTTTGTTTGCTGTGCCTCTAGAAGACAGGGGTTGCATTTTGTTGTTCAATTACAGCTTCTTCAGCTTCCGCTGTCGGTACTATCCTGCTACTGACTCTTGGGTTGGTGAGTACAGTTTGGATGATATGATTGATGAGTACAGTTTAGATGAAAGCAGCACAATGATGACAAAGGGCGGAAAGGGCACAACAATTGGTGACTGGTTATTGAATGAAAGTTCACTAAACTTCACAAGGGAAATCATCGAGTCCCCAAGCTTCATAAGCTATAAGGATAAACATCGAAAGTGGGAATGCTTACCTGATATGCGAAATTGCCTGGTTTATAATAACATCGTGTATTGGTACAACAACTATTGCGGGGATATTTATGCATATGATCCATCCAATTCAGAGTTGCTATCAGCACATATTTTGTGTGATGAGGTGGACATTATACCTAGCACGGATAGGAGAAATTTCACTTCAGGTCTCCCGATTCTGGTCCATTTAGATGGTCCTCTGTTCTCTTTGGTCTGTCTGGAGGCAGATAAACTCTACTTCACCAAGTTTACTGTCTTAAAAGATAAAGATACAGAAGGCCAAGATATCCTCAAAGCTACCTATGTGTCTTTCCAGTTTTTCCGCATCGATGGTCCTGCTGGACTTATAGAAGCCATCGCAATATAAGCACATCCAGCCCATCTTCTTACCTCACACCTTCAGATTGCACTATTATCTTAAACTTTTTATAATCAACAAAACATGTGATCTGGAGGAGATCGAGTGAGTATTTGGAGGCTCTTCAAACTTATTATTATTTTAGTAATCCCCGAAAAAGCTTGAAACTCTAGTTATACAGTTTTAAATATATTTATATGGAAATGCTTTTGTAATACTAAATTTGCTCTGTCTATGTGTTATGTGTTACATGCTTGCAGGTTTTACTCCAATAGCTACTTCTATGTGTTCTTAAACGTAGGCCTATAATGCAAACATGTTGAATTATACTTGGCTTAAGATAATATTAAACGGATTATCGTCTCTCTTTTATGAACCCAATGAGCTCATGAATCATCAGTGTGCACAAGTGTTATTTTCATATCATTATGATAATCTAACCCGTCATCTTTCAACATATATTCGTAGCAATTTGTATCTAATCTATCACCAAAAAAGCTAAAACAAGAATTATGCCAATATGGCTTAAAATTACAATACCACAAACTTAAATTCCCATAAAAAGATCTCAAATGTTTGTTTTAGATTGACACGACCTAGAGTCATCTTTGAAAGGAAACAAACGTAGTTGGCTACACAGCAGGAGCCAACCTTTCACCTTTGAATATCATTCACTTCACTGAATTTGGTGAGAACTCGAACTCGAGACCTCTCACTTTTTATATCTTCTACAAGAGATAGAAAAACCTCTCACTTTTTATATCTTCGTAGGACTTTAACATAAGGGATCACCCAAACAACTTTTCATCTTACTGACTCTCCTCCATCAATTGAGTTGATAATATATTATGATAGTTCTCCCACAGATAAGGAACCATGCTTGTTAATCTAAAGAGTGAGAGAAGGATGATCTTTGAACAAGAATTTTTCTAGAGGAAGATCCGGAAAATAATATGACCTAAAAAAATTATATCAACAAATTAATTCTCATCTCCTCAATGAAAGGAAAAAAAAAAGTCCCCATAGCTTATATAATTTTAAAGAAAAATGTTAGGTAATTTTTATAGGAATGAGCCTACATGGCATAGGCTCCATTTGAATTGATTTGCTCAACTCCTTCAATAATTGTCCAATAAAATACGGGAATGACACCTGGAAAAATCTGATTAAATTCATCCATCGTATTACTCCAGAGCTTTTTACGTGACTGACGTGACTGAAACATTATAAAGAATTTCGTTGTGATAACATAAAGAGAAATAAAAAGAAAAACAAGAACATTTTTGAAAGATGGAGTATACCCAGTTCTTATATATTGGTTCTTCATTGTGAACAAAGGAATTTTTGAAAAATCTAATAACCCCAAAATGTTTTGCATATCTCTTTTGACTGTCTTGAAAATCTCTTACAGTGATTAAACTAGAATTGCTAGGAATTTTTGTCTTCCAATCAAAATACTGTGAAAAAAGTGTCAAATTAAACAAATATGAAGGAGGATTTGACCTTTTTCAAATGTTTGTTTTAGCACGACCTAGAGTCATCTTTGAAAGGAAGCAAACGTTGTGGGCTACACAGCAGGAGGCAACCTTCCCCCTTTAAATAACATTCACTTCACTGAATTGGTGAGGACTCGAACTCGAAACCTCTCACTTTCTATATCTTCTACAAGAGATAGAAAAACTTGAGAAAAATGCTATTTAAATTTTGTTGGCCTTCGCAGGACTTTAACATAAGGGATCACCCAAATAACTTCTCGTCGTACCGACTCTCCTCCAACAACTAAGTCGACAATATATTATGATAGTTCCCCCACAGATAAGAAACCATGCCTGTTAATCTAAGGAGTGAGAGAAGGATGATCTTTGAACAGGTATTTTTCTAGAGGAAGAACCGTAAAAGAATATGACCTGAAAAAATTATATGTTAATCTAAGGAGTGAGAGAAGGATGATCTTTGAACAGGTATTTTTCTAGAGGAAGAACCGTAAAAGAATATGACCTGAAAAAATTATATCAACAAATTAATTCCCATTTCTTCAAAGAAAGAAAAAAAAAAGTCCCCATAGCTTATATAGTTTTAAAGAAAAATGTTAGGTAATTTTTATAGGAATGAGCCTATATGGCATAAGCTCTATTTGAATTGATTTGCTCAACTCCTTCAATAATTGTCTGATAAAATACGGGAATGACACCTAGAAAAATCTAATTAATTTCATCCATCGTATTACTCAACAGTGACTGAAACATTATAAAGAATTTCATTGTCATAACATAAAGAGAAATAAAAAGAAAAGCAAAAACATTTTTGGAAGATGGAGTTTACCCAGTTCTTATATATTGTTTCTTCATTGTGAATAAAGGAATTTCTGAAAAATCCAATGACCCAAAATGTTTTGCATATCTCTTTTAACTGTCTTGAAAATCTCTTACAGTGATTAAACTAGAACTGCTAGGAATTTTCATCTTCCAATCAAAATACTGTGAAAAAAGTGTCAAATTAAACAAATATGCTGAAGGATTTGACCTTCTCAAATGTTTGTTTTAGATTCACACGACCTAAAGTCATCTTTGAAAGAAAACAAACGTTGTGGGCTACACAGCAGGAGGCTACCTTCCCCCTTTGAATAACATTCACTTCATTGAATTGGTGATGACATGAACTCGAGACCTCTCACTTTCTATATCTTCTACAAGAGATAGAAAAACCTGAGAAAAAAACTATTTAAATTTTGCTTGCCTTCGGAGGACTTTAACATAAGGGATCACCCAAACAAATTCTGGTCTTACCGACTCTCCTCCAACAACTGAATCGACAAAATATTATGATAGATCTCCCACAGATAAGAAACCATGCCTGTTAATCAAAAGAGTGAGAGAAGAGAGTGAGAGAAGGATGATCTTTGAACAAGTATTTTTCTAAAGGAAGATCCGAAAAATAATATGACCAGAAAAAATTATATCAACAAATTAATTCCCATCTCTTCAAAGAAAGAAAGAAAAAAAAAGTCCCCATAGATTATATAGTTTTAAAGAAAAATGTTAGGTAATTTTTATAGGAATCATCCTACATGGCATAAGCTCCATTTGAATTGATTTGCTCAACTACTTCAATAATTGTCCAATAAAATAAGAGAATGACACTTGGAAAAATCTGATTAAGTTCATGCATCGTATTACTCCACAGCCTTATACATGACTGACATGACTGAAACATTATAAAGAATTTTGTTGTGATAACATAAAGAGAAATAAAAAGAAAAGCAAAAACATTTTTGAAAGATGGAGTATACCCAGTTCTTATATATTGTTTCTTCATTGTGAACAAAGGAATTTCTTAAAAATCCAATGACCCCAAAATGTTTTGCATATCTCTTTTGATTGTCTTGAAAATCTCTTACAGTGATTAAACTAGAATTGTTAGGAATTTTCGTCTTCCAATCAAAATACTGTGAAAAAAGTGTCAAATTAAACAAATATGCAGGAGGATTTAACCTTCTCAAATATTTTTAAGTCAAATTAAACAAATATGCAGGAGGATTTAACCTTCTCAAATATTTTTAAATTCACACGACTTAGAGTCATCTTTGAAAGGAAACAAATGTTGTGGGCTACACAGCAGGAGACAACCTTCCCCCTTTGAATAACTTTCACTTCACTGAATTGATGAGGACTCGAACTCGAGACTTCTCACTTTCTATATCTTCTACAAGAGATAGAAAAACATGGGAAAAAAGCTATTTAAATTTTGTTGGCCTTCGCAGGACTTTAACATAAGGGACCACCCAAACAACTTCTCTGTCTTATCACTCTCCTCCAACAACTGAGTCAACAATATATTATGATAGTTTTCCCACAGATAAGAAACCATGCAAGTTAATCTAAGGAGTGAGAGAAGGATGCTCTTTGAACATGTATTTTTCTAGAGGAAGATCCGGAAAATAATATGACCTGAAAAAATTATATCAACAAATTAATTCCCATCTCTTCAAAGAAAGAAAGAAAAAAAAAGTCATCATAGCTTATATCGTTTTAAAGAATAATGTTAGTTAATTTTTATAGGAATGAGCCTACATGGCATAAGCTCCATTTGAATTGATTTGCTCAACTCCTTCGACAATTGTCCAATAAAATACGGGAATGACACTTGGAAAAATCTGATTAAGTTCATCCATCATATTACTCCAAAGCTTTCTACAGCTACGTGACTGACATAACCGAAACATTATAAAGAATTTCGTTGTGATAACGTAAAGAAAAATAAAAAGAAGAGCAAAAACATTTTTGAAAGATGGAGAATACCCGTTTCTTATATATTGTTTCTTCATTGTGAACAAAGGAAATTCTGAAAAATCCAATACCCCAAAATGTTTTGAATATCTCTTTTGACTGTCTTGAAAATCTCATCTCTTTTGACTGTCTTGAAAATCTCTTACAGTGATTAAACTAGAACTGCTAGGAATTTTCATCTTCCAATCAAAATACTGTGAAAAAAGTGTCAAATTAAACAAATATGCAGAAGGATTTGACCTTCTTAGCATCAAATTTGCTTTGTTTATGAAGTACATTTTTTGGGTGTTACTCCAAAAAATAGGATGTCTACGTATATAATTGATTATAAAGAATTTCGTTGTGATAACATAAAGACGAATAAAAAGAAAAGCAAAAACATTTTTGAAAGATGGAGTATATACATTTCTTATATATTGTTTCTTCATTGTGAACAAAGGAATTTTTGAAAAACCAATGCCTCAAAATGTTTTGCATATCTATTTTGACTGTCTTGAAAATTTCTTACAGTTATTAAACTAGAATTGCTAGGAAGTTTTGTCTTCCAATCAAAATACTGTGAAAAGAGTGTCAAATTAAACAAATATGCAACAGGATTTCACCTTCTCAGCATCAAATTTACTTTGTTGCTCAAGTATATTTTTTGGATGTTACTCTAAAAAATAGGATGTCTAAGCATATAATTGATTATAAAGAATTTCGTTGTGATAACATAAAAAGAAATAAAAAGAAAAGCAAAAACATTTTTTGAAAGATGAACATTAAACAAATATGCAACAGAATTTCACCTTCTCAGCATCAAATTTGCTTTGTTGATGAAGTATATTTTTTGGCTGTTACTTCAAAAAATAGCATGTCTAAGCATATAAATTGATTATAAAGAATTTCGTTATGATAACATACATAAAGAGAAATAAAAAGAAAAGCCAAAACATTTTTGAAAGATGGAGTATACAAATTTCTTATATATTGTTTCTTCATTGTGA